CAGATCGTTCTCGAACACTAACGCGCTGGTCCGGCTGGTCGGTTCTAGCCGATTCTAGCTTGATGGCGTCAGCGGCAGATCGCTCACCGCAACGTTGCCGCTGTTTATGTTTAATATTATGACAATTAGATTTTTTTGTGGAATTTTCGGAAGCTTCTCTGATTTTTGCAGTTTGTATTTTTTAAATTAAAGTCGTTGTGAGAGCTACCAGAATTGCCTCCGCGAGCTACCGGTAGCTCGCGATCGACAGGTTGGCGACCACTGGGCTAGACCGACGCCCGAGCATTTTTCAACGGTCGACTGATGGCTGGGACAGATCTTTGACTCAGATCATCGTCCTATGTGAAACGGGCGTCATTGTCGCGAATCTCATCTTTCACTCTATAATTTTGAGGCTTCATACGGTGATTGTTATTCATGGAGTTCATTCAGTAAATAAATCTTGTTAATTTTGACGGTTTCAATTTTTCAGTTGCAGTTCCTAAGCGCCACAAATCGTCCCAATGATTACCAAAGCGTTGTTTGGGGCATGGGACTATGTAGTCCTTGTCATCGTGCTGCTGATTTCTTCTGGAATTGGCGTATATTACAGATTCACCGGTGGCAAACAAAAAACAATGAGAGTAAGTAGAACAACTAAGTTATTCTGAAGAAGTCAACATTTTTGCAACTTTCACTTCCACAGGTTGGAAAGAATGATTCTGAATCAAGATTATCTGAGCAGTATTATATTCCACACATAATGGCATCAATAGGTCTTTCAAACGAAATAAAGCCCAATATTTTTTCATGTAATGGTTATTAACAGTATTCCATTCAAATTTGTTTCAAAACGGCTGACAATAATGTTTTTAGTAAGTTTATTAGTGTTCGACCGAAAGTTCGGTTTCGGTTTCGGTTTCGGTCGAGTTTTGGCAAAAAAACGGGTTTCGGTATAGTTTTGGTTCTGGCGGCAAACCTGCCGAAACTACGACCGAAACCGAAACTGCATTCGGGAGTTCCCGCACTGTGATCGGTCATGTTAAGCGCGTTGAATTTCAAACAAGCGACGAAGACATTTTGCCGCGTCCACGTGCCTAATCATCACTTTGTAATTAACTTTTTTTATTACATAAATATCAAGTACCTATTGTGATATTGGGTAATAACTTAAATAAGTAATTTTATGTTTAATATTTTTGAAAAACCATCAATAATTTCGACACGTGTTTTGATCACCAAGTGGTCATGTTCAAGAGGAAGATCAAAATCTTGAAGGTGATCACCTGGTGATCGGAACACGTGTCGAGGTGTAAAAATAACGGTTTGGTGTTGGGAAAAACTCCAGTAATATTCTAAATGTGTTCACTTGTGAAGTGAAACCTAAAAATAAACGTGAATTCACATTGTTTAGCGCCATAGGTGATCAAGTAGCAACAGCGATGAGCAGGACAAAGTAACGACAATATCGCATGTGTCCACATCGGTCGCAGGAACTACCTAGACCAAATTCGCATCCAAATTTGGGATCAATATGTCTTCAAACAATTTCTCAAAAATATTAGCTTTCATGTTCCTATGATAGTCAACATTGCAGTCCTCAAGTTTTTTCACATAATTTTAAAGAGTTCAGAACCCACCCTTTACTTCCTCCGCAATGCACAATGATTAGTCGCAATCCTTTGTTTGCATGCATGTTAGGTGTACACATTCTCGAACCATCAGTCCACCCTTTCTTAACTAAGTCATGAGTGTCATACCAAGTTTCGTCCAAATAGAAAATTTGCCGTTGTTCTTNTATTCTTTAATGACTAATTTAACTCGTCTACGATCAACTGAACTGTTGTTGAATTTTCAAACCATAGTAGGTAACTTTCTATCCATGAAAACCTGGCATATTATCACTAGATAGATAGGCCAAAGTGGGTGTTTCAACCTGAATTGATAATGAGACCAAATAACAATGACATATTGATCATATGATGCTGGGGTTCTTGAACATCTGCAGGAGACCAAAATAGGTTTAATGAAATGATTATAGATTTATAAATAATGTATATATGGTCGTCATCTTGAAGACGTTTGTTATGGCACCTCATATATACAATTTTTCAGTGATTTCCGTATTTGGTGAAATATTGACGGTAGCCTGGTGGGTTGACGTGGGTGGTTTGCTTCACTCACACAATCGACCGCTGTGTGAACCGGTGGTTCGCACTGCAAGGCTGGACGATCGATTTTCACTTCCCATTGTCCAACCCTTGTTAGGAATCACACGTTGAAAACTAAAATCTCGTTAGTCCTTAGCTCTCACAAGTTTCGACGTAAACTACGCGGTTTACGCTTGAGGAAGCTATTGTATAGCGAAACACGTTTCGTGGTTTTTGTAAAACCCTATATTGATTAGTTTTCGTACTGTTTCAACTCGAAAAAAAATTGTTTCCTCTAGTAATGATGGAATTTGAACAAACATGGAAAATCATATACTCGTATATCAATACCATTGAAGTCCAAATCAGAAAGTAATAATTGAAGAAACTGAAGACATCAATATCAATACTAACTCACCAAATCATAGGTATAGTTCATATTCACGTTTTTATTCAGTTTCTCTATATGATATTTCATACTGTGGACACATTTTCAATCTACCTGAACCTTGCTTGAGTACTTGCTTACCAAACTCTTCAAAAGACATCTTCATCTGCTATAATAGCCTCTGGCCATTTAGCGTTCGTTTTGTTAAAAGTACAGTGGAGATTAGTTTTCAAATAATGTTCATCGGTTTGCTAGCTTTTATATAGCAAAAATATATTAAAGACTGGTGGTGTCTCGTGATAAATTTTTTTGCATAGTTTCTATGATGTTAATATGTCGCTAGTTTCCCAACTCAAAATTTCATCATTTCCAACACGGAAAAACGTTTCTTTTATGTACCTATACGGAAAAATCATATACCGAGTTTGCTCGAAAATTCACCACATATCACAGTAATGATGATGATAATGATGATATATTTCAGTATCTAGAAAGAAGATTCGGAAAAATTGCAAGGCTAGCAGCTTCTCTATGTTACACCTTGCAAATGACTCTATACATGGGGATCGTCCTGTATGCTCCTGCCTTAGCCCTAGAAGCTCTAACTGGTATAACCAAAGTTTCTGCAATATTGTCAGTAGGTAAGTGCTATCTAAGTTCATACAGGGTGGGTCCATGGAAACCAAACAATCGATTTCTCATAATTTAGAGAAAAAATCGTGAGATCCAAGCCAGAAATCTTCAATGTATTAGGAGTCAACCAACACCTCTTTTTCAAATATCATTCAGTAAATGTTGAAAAAACAATAGAGAACTAGGTTTCCATTGAATATTCTTACCAAGATTTGCTCTAGTTGTTTGTTCTTTAGAAAATTGTATATGTGAATCTTCAAGTTCTAAAACTGGATAAGTAGAATAAGGGAGTGATAACCCAGCTCAAACTCCTTACCTGCATATTGAAAATATTTGAGTTATGTCTTTAGCAATCCTTTCACACAGAGGTTATCCGTATCTTGCTGTTTTATCACAGATTTTAAACAGACAGATCATGACAACGACATCTGAACATCTTGGTCATGAACTTGTGAAATTCAACAGAGCTTTCTCCTACACATGGGAATAATAAAGTGGGGTTCATCAAGAGATACTCCGAAATAAACTGATACAAAGTTTAGATTGACTCCTGATTCATTCTTAACCAGCGATTTCAACTTCAACTTTCATATATGTTTTTGTTTGTCTTATCGCCTTCTATTCTGTCTATTTGTTGGTTATTTTACGCGTTAGGATGTTGTTATTCAACATTTATCAGTAATCATTGTTACCGAGTTTTCTCGATAAATCATTAACATTTCACCTTGACGTCCTCAGTATAATCACATATGTTTCTTTCCAGGTATAGTCTGCACCTTTTATTCCACAATAGGAGGTATGAAAGCGGTGCTGATGACTGATGTTTTTCAGTCACTACTGATGTTTGCAGCTGTTTTCAGTATTATAATATGCGCTTGGGTCGACAAGGGAAGTCTCAGCGAAATTTGGAGAATTGCAGCAGAAGGAAATAGAACTGATTTGTGGAAGTGAGTATTCCAATTAAATTCCAAAATGGAAACACATACTCATTATACTTATTACTCAAATGACCTCCACTAGCGCCAATTATTCTGACTGGAGATGTCAATATGAATTTTCCGAATGAAAAATCTGTTTAAACTCAGATGTTGATAAATTTGTTACACCGCTTGGATCTTGTTATTCATGTGGATAAAGCTATTTAGATTTCTAAACTTTCGTCCATTATTATAGACCAATATATTTTGTTCGGCAAAAAATAAGTATTTTGGAAAGTGAACAAAATTAAATTCTGAACAACGTAAAACAAATTCAGGTAAAAATACATTTAGTAATAATATAAAACTCATTCTATTTGCATATGAACATCTTCACTCTTCTACAAACTCCAGCACATTTGGAATGACACCATTTGCTGCACGTCTAATACCGAATCAATTCTTCTCGGGAATGAGAAAAGGATTGTAGCACATTGCAGTTCAAGCAACGAACATTTTCATTGTCTACTTGGACGGTTTTTCTATCTTTGTCATCTTTTTCAATGATTGTCAATTTTCTCTTCATTGCTTTAGTAGTCTTTCGCAAGATTGATACTTTTTTTCACAACAGCTGCTTCAGCAATTTCCATTTCCACTCTTCTATTGGGTACGCCATACTTTCTCCTTTTTCTAGGTTTGCATGTTATCCCCACTCAAAGATATTTGAACTGATCTTGTTTGATGTAGACACTGACTAGTGAGGGTCATCTGCCTTTGTATTTGGATCATCAGTTTTATCTTGTCCAGATACTGGTTGGGGGTCATCAAATTCGTTAAGTTCTGTGTGTAGGTACCTTTCTTGCGTATTAGTAACCTCGGCTGGTTAGAACATCCATTCTGAAAAGACATAACCTTTCTGTAAGCTACCTTTAGGCAAACGAAACGTTTGTTACTACAAGTTCCTTTCGATCGCGACCTACCAGCCGTAATTTGGTTTTGCTGATCGTGACTTCAGTGGTGAAAGCCTATGTTTCTATATTACCCAGTATGTCCCCAGTACATAAATCATATTATCATTTTAAACGGTTTCAATACTTGATTATACTGAAATTTTGAAAATACATTTTTTTTTATTTTCAGTTTTGATCCTGACCCAACTGTTCGTCACTCTTGGTTCACCTTAATAATCGGTGGCGGTATAACCTTTCTTTCTCTGTATGCTGTCAATCAAACACAAGTCCAAAGGTATCTGACAATAAAGGACCTGAAAAGAGCTCAAAAAGCCTGTTGGTGGAACTGGCCAATCCTGACAGCTCTAAGTTTGAGTACCTCTTTCTCTGGACTGGCCATATACTCCAAATATTACAACTGTGATCCCAAAGATTCAAAGTACATCAACAGTGCTGACCAGGTATATTACTTTCAGTTTGAAAATCAAATGAAGATATGAACATAGTGTACTCAGTAGGGTAACGTCTTTTGGAAGATATATTTTCATTTACTTGCTGATGATCAATAAAACACGATATATCTTTATGGTATAAACTTCAATGACCCATTTACGCTGGTCGAACATCAACAAGAAGAGACAGGTGAACCAATGCAAGTCCATTTGAAGCACAATACTGTCAATTGTCAACTGTTGCCAACTTAACGTACTTGTAAACGAATATTGATACCTTACAGTAGTATACTAAAGTTATTGAAGATTGCTAGTTCAAAATTTAAATCATTATGTTTCAGTTGATGCCTTATTACGTTGTGGATACTATGGGGCATATCCCTGGTTTATCGGGGCTCTTTGTGGCAGGTATTTTCAGCGCCTCGCTCTCAACCGTATCAGCGGCGTTGAACAGTCTGGCTGCAATAACAATCGAGGACTATATCAAGGTAATTTTTTTTCTTAGCTCCTCCATGGATAACTTTGACCACTTTTGCAGCCCCTGTACAATCATGTGCTTAAGAAACCCCTTTCTGAAAAGAGGGCTGGAATGCAGACAAAATTCATTTCCTTAATTTACGGAGTGGTGTGTATAGCAGTTGCCTTTCTAGCTCAAATGCTGGGAGGAGTTCTACAAGCTGCCCTCACTATATTTGGGGTCGTAGGGGGTCCACTGCTGGGGCTATTTTCCCTAGGAATGTTTACTACCATCGCGAATGAAGAGGTACTTTGAGTTACGGTTATCTTCACAATCCATAAAATGAATTATATTTCAGGGATCCGTTACTGGCTTGGCTGCTGGAGTCGCATTTGCGCTCTGGATGGCTTTCGGCGATAAACCACCTCTCAAGATGCTTCCCACATCTACAGAGGGTTGTCTCAATTATAAAAATACAACTAGCTCGATCAGTGCTGCACCCATGTTGGGGAAAGCTGATAGGTAGGTCATAACACTATAGATGCCATCAAAAACGAGTTAGGGTGTCAGATTTAAATGAACAATCCTTCAAAATCAATTTGCCTGCGTTCCTTTCAGAAAACTTCACTTCTGTTTGTCATTTATCATTTCAATTTTTAAATCATGTATTTTCTGACCGTCTTCAACTGGTTTTATAACTGTGAATAGCCTCATACACTAAAAATTTGCAATGGTTGAAACAGTGAATGATCTCATTAACATAAACCGGAAACAATAGTGGTCCCGAGTGGGAGCCTTGGGGGATACCCGAGGTTACATAAGATGAGTGTACTTTTTAACCATGAACTGAAACAATTTGAGATCTATCACACTGCAGTAAACTTCCACGTCATATAAACTGATGTTATTGTCGTTGAATTTCTTTCACTAACACTATTTTAATCAGATTTTTTTATTTTACAGCGAGTACTTTTGGCTATACAGGGTTTCTTACTTATACAACGGAGTATTCGGACTCTTGGTCACCATAGTGATCGGGCTGCTGGCCAGTTACATTGTTCATAGATTTGTCAGAGAAAACCCGAAGACTTACGATCCGAATCTCTTCATTCCACCTTTGGCAAACAAGATGAAGCGAGAACAGAACGCTTCCGCAAATCTTGAAGCTTTTGCTCACATTTCTACATCTAGCGATAATCTCAGAAACGGATTGAAGACTGAACGTAGTTATTTCTAATGAATGTAATCTTGTACTTAGATCACGTGAATACCATTTTTGAGGTTAGGTAATATTAAGAGTGTATTCGTTATAACCTCAAATAATTCATAACGGGTTTGACGGTTTTATAAAAGTATAAAAGTCCTGCCGGTGTTGAATTTCAGAAATACAATGAGATTACCAACGTTTCATAAATATTTATTGTATTTCATTTCGCAACATGGTAACATGTTGAAACAAGTCCAAGAATCCACTATGACATATAACGTTTACAGAATCTAATAAGGAGGTGCCGTACGAATTGCCAACTCCAAAATTGCATGAAAAATAACTGCTGCTCTGATTTCAATTAATTGACGTGATCTGAATAGAGCATGGCGTAATATACATCTAATAACAGTTTTTAAATCGTTTCGCCTATATAAGTGAATTGGATAAAAAGAAATTTTTCAATGGTGGCACCACTTGATTTCATTGAAATGACAATTTTGTTACCGATAGTTATTATTTTGCAAGTTTGAATTCATCGGGCAGTATTTCCTATTTCATTTATAATTTAAACTCAAATCTCACGGTTCAATTCATAGATCATATAAGATAAGCGTTTCATTTGAAACGCATGTATTTTTCCTCAGCTGTAATCTGTAGATGATGTTTGTATTTTCCAATCTTGAGTTTTAGTCATTTTCGTTGTATTCATTTTATAATCCATATCAATTAGAATTTTGTTTGCAGCACTTGTATTTTTTCGGAGTTGGCTATTCTGTTTATTTGTCATTAGCGTCAGTTATAAGTTGTAATGTATGTAGTTGAAGTGTATATCGAACATTTGTTAGAGTTTTATTTGATGTTTCCATTATATTCATTTTCCATCAGTATTAGTATTCCCAATATTTCGCTGTTGTAACGACGTGAATAATCAACGTGACAACTGACACTAATGACAACTGAACAGACTGACCAACTGAAGATAAATACGTTGGCTCCAAAATATTATATAATTAAGTCATAAAAGCGAAATGGTTAGAAAAAACCATTGGTACATATAGATTGAGCCATGCTGAAATCTGAGTCAGTAATGTTTCATATAATTTCAAGGTACGACAATTCCCTATTTGAATTTTAGGATTTCTTGAAAATTACCAGAAATAATTGAGTATTTCAAGGCTTTTTTTTTGGTTCTAAGGATGATTAGAAATATTTATATGTTTTGAAACACACAAATATTTATTGTTAGTTTGATGACATGAGATTGAATATAAGGCGGTGCATAAAGTAACGAATAAATTCATTTTAAATTTACCAAGGATGAGTGAAACTTGAAAATTCAATTTTGAATTCGAAAATGACATTTTAAGACTTCTTCTTCAACTCCCTTGAAAATTTTCAAAAAGAATTTCTCAGTTTATCGCCAGTGCAATAGAAAACAAATTTCGTGAATTTGAATGTGTCCCACATATACCTAAATCTACTGAAATTACTAGAATAATTTGAATATGTTATTCAATATTCAAGGTAGGTAATCTACATAAACCTTCAAGACGAATCGCCGCCGATAATATTCCTAGTAAAACTCCATGTTGCATCTTCTGAAAAAAGTATTATCTATATAAAATTCGTTGGGTTCAAGACCTCCCTCATCACCGACAGAAATTTTGCAAAATCATGGCAAATCGAAGCCAAGATATTCGTTTATTTACTTTGAATGATGGAGGTCAATACCCAATACCCAGAAAAGATGAATTATAAATTTTCCAAATAATCTTATCTCATATTTTCAGGCACATTAACTAAAGCTTTTGTAATAGTGAATGCAGTGAAACCTAATAGCCTGCTTAGCGTCCCGATTCGAACCCACTTGACTATTTTTTGGGGTTATTGATAATTTCTGTGTTGTATCTTCCTAAAAGTAGACACAGTGAAACTTAATAGCCTACTTGTTCTCTCGATTCGGCCCCACTTGACTATTTTAATGGGAGTATTGAAAATCTCCCTACAACAGATCAAATAATACATATATGTTAAAAGACAGAATTAGGCCAGAATTTAATCAAATCACCCCGGAAACGATACAAAAATTTCAAAAGAGTTCTAGCAACCTCTTCATTATTGTTAAGAAGCAAGGAGCGTCCAGATCGAACATTTGAAATGTGTCGTGTTCTTTTTTTACTTAGTTACATAGAAAATGGGATATTTTTGTTGAAACATCATGAGAAATTCAGAAAACTCGACACTGATGGATAGAGAATCAATTTTTTTTTCAAAATAAGCTAGGAAACGAGCTCTCGTTCTGTTGAAAATGTTCAAAAGAAATGGTGTTTCTCCAGAGGAGTTGAATTAATATATTTAGTTGATGATGCATTTATGCGTTACTTTATTGGACGCATTGTAGTTAAAATTATCGGTTATTGGTCAGATTAGGACTCAATCTATATTGAAGACTAGTTATACAGCCATACCTCGTCTTCACTTATAGAGTTATAAATAAACTTGGAGAAAATTGAAAATAATCTAATATTCTCACAATGTCCACCTTTTTTAACGTTTGTTTGAAGGTGGTTGACAATGTTTCATAGTGAATTTCATTGGTTCGGGCTTCCATTGTCTCTAATATGATATAAAATGATTTGAACCCTGAAAGAATCAAAAAAATTAAAATGAATAGCTGAAAATAACAATTATATTGAGGTAAAAAACTGAAATTACAATGAAATAAAATACAAGCAACAATTGAAAATTGAACAATTAACAAGAAATTCTTGGGGGATTTCAAATCATTTTATATCATGTTAGACAATGGAAGTCCGACCTAATGAAATGTGTTATTTACGTTTTTTAGATACAATCGAACATTCCTTCAACTAATTCATACTGTCAACCACAAAAATTGAAAATTTTGATTTTAATTGAATACGATACAGTACCAAAGGTTGAGTGTGTTGAATCGCATTGGAAAAAAGGGTTAGTTATTTTTTTAAAGATAGTGTTTTGGAGAAATGTTTTCATTTATTTGCTTTCCATAACTGCTTGACGTTTGTTTATTTTTTTAAATCTAAATCCTAGTTTCTTTATTCAATTCTAAAGAGTTTTGTCACAGCAGCTCACGTTATGGCCGGAAGTATTCAATTTCTTTCTTATGATTTCAGTTGTAGGAATCTCATTGCCTTTGTAACAGTTGTATATTGTTTTATTCAATGATTTTATTAGATAAACATCTAAAGGTTTTGGTAATCCCGTATCACATCGCTCTTGCGCTCAAACCTGATGTTGCTTGTAATAGTTTTTTTTTCCCTGGAAACCAAACTTGAGATGTAGATTCTCATATACGTTGAAACATAATCACTGTGTTTCAATATTCAAATACATCCAAATCTTATTTAATGGTATCTCTTTTTCGCATTGTTCACCATCGCCATTGGAATCACTACACTGGAAAAAGTCTGCGTTGTTATTATACTCGTTATTACTATTAGTAATTGTTCACCATCGCCATTGGAATCACTACACTGGAAAAAGTCTGCGTTGTTATTATACTCGTTATTACTATTAGTACTTGTCCAAGGGCGCCACGTTTTGAGCAGATAACAAAAATTTTAAGTAATTATAACTGCACCAATATCGAATTTAAACATTCAAATCGCGATCAGTTCCTGGAACTGAACATTGACAACACGACGGCTTGCATTCTATTCGTCACCGTAACATGACTTGAAATTTAATTTTATGACTCTTCAGCCAATCATAACACTCGGTTGATAAAAATCATCCAATACGAATTATCCAGTCCACATGGACCAGTTGGCAGCGGCTTTATTCCTTTTTTTGACCTTTGAGAACACCGACACTTTGAGTATGCACAGCTACTTCGACTTCTCATGAAAAATGGGGCAAGAAACTAACAGTGAATCAAAATTTTCAAGCTAATTGAACTATATGTGCATTATACTACAAAACGCAAATATTGAATATGATACAGACGAAGACAAATGTCTACATTCCGATATACATGACTGCGTTTACTAAATCTCGTCAATACCGTACCAAGAATGTCCATTTTCGAAACTATAAAATCTGGAATATACAGGGACGATATTAAGGCCCCTCGTATGAATCCTTGTGGCACTCCGAACAATATAGGCAATATATTCAAGAGATAGCATTATCTGACAATACAAAATAGTCGTTTTGAAAATGTCAAATCTCACAAAGATTAATGAGGTGGTTAATAATTTGCCAATTGAAAACGAATACTTTTTTATGTGCCTTCAGTGGATTAGATGAATTGGCAACATGCTAATTAAGCCTTCTAAGTCTCTTGGAAAGTTACACTTGTACAGCTTGTTCCCAATAATTTTGAAATTAATTGTGGGAATGGCTGCACTGAAGATGGAAGTAATATACTTTACACAATAACTATCAATGAGCAGCATAGAAATATAATTCCATCTCAAAATATTCGATTGCTTTCATCATTGTAGATTGAAGTATGTTTTTTGTTCATTAGATTATAAGCACATCGGTTGTTGAATTCATTCCTGTCAAGAAAAAGGTCGTCTCTTAGAGGTAATAAAAAAAACACTAGAAATTCGGCGGTCTTGACAATCATATACAGTATTTAAATTATCGTTCTTTGAAAAACTTCTGAAACATTCCTTCTGTTCAGAAGGTCAGGTCATAATAAATCGTGAGTTCGTGTAGCATTGAAGTGTTTGTATGTATCTTAGAAGTTCACCTTTGACACCGCTTGGAATTATATTGATCACATAAACGGGGGCCTGACCATTCTCCTCATTGAAAAATAATGACCTATTCTATAGGGGGACTTGAAAATATCCCCGTCAATTCTTATCTTCTCAAATGATGTCATTATCTCAATCTTCAATTAACAAGAAGAAAGATGCGTTGTTTTTGTTATTTTCTCGTTCGGAAAATCAGGGGTTTTTCTGATGTAGTTGTACTTTATAATAGCTGATGCAACGAGAAATTAATTTCAGTGCAATCTCAATGGTGCACGACAAATTCTTCAAATACTTTTTTAAATGTGACGGTTTTCAGTAAAAAAACCCATTCTAGTAAAGTGTACTTACCTTTGATGTACAACAACAACGTTTGAAAAAAAAATAAAGTGAGTTACTTTTTTGTTTCAGATTTTTTAGGCCAATGCAGATTAAAACCTTGAGATTTCAAATTTTGTGAAACAAGCTTGTTTGAACATGATTTATTATTGACAAGATATCTATTTCTATCGTTTTGTGTCGATTATTTTCTTCGAACCGATCGAATGGTGAAAAAAATTGAGGCTAGAGCACCAAAACAGAGTTGTACAGCAATAAAACTAACAGCAATGAAAATACCATCTAGATGTCACTATTATTGAATCTTAGGCGACTTTCAGTGAAAAGTATTCTGCTTCATCATTTACTGCATACAAACTGTTATAATTTTCCCTATTTTTGTTGATTTTATAATTTTCCTGCGTAAATATTTCTAAATGAGTCAATATAATTTTAAGAAACGGTTCAGTTAGAACTTATACATTTCGAAATTGTTAAAATAATGTAGACGCTAAAAAGTAAGCAAAGTTGCAAATTCTCCAAAGACGGAAAACTGCTATGGACGAAACCAACATTTTTCTCGACAACGTTTAATAAATTCATACTTATTTGTTTTTGCTGTCGCACACAGGTGGTCATTTGTTTTGACTTGTTGGCCCATTGTTGACGGTAAAATTCAGATTAATCCGGTTTTATCAATAATATACACTTGAAGTTACCTGTCTAAGTTAGACCATGAGTTATTTCCGTTTCAGATATTCATTTATAAACAAAACGACTGAGTCGGTCGGATTTTATTCACTACGATGGAAGATGTAATTAAGTGGAAGAGTTTACTTACAAAACCGAAACTGCTGATAAATATTTCAGTGATGATAATTCTGTTCAATTCTGTAGCGGCTGCGAGGTCTGAGAAAAACTTAGAGAAAGGTAAGTGAATGTTGATTAATTGCCACCCATATGGGTAGGAATTTCACCGACTACTAAACTTGGGAAATTCCATGTTTTGTTTTCTACATTTTCTACATTTTCCATACAGAAAAATACTATTTCGCAATGCGCATTTCGTTAGCTAAGTTAGCATAATGAGTATGCTACAGACAAAGACGAATGTCTACATTGTGATATACATACATGAATGCATATAATGAATCTCGTCAATACCGTACTGAAAATGTCCATTTTCAGTACATTGAAATTTGAAATATATAGACTACCTGTGAAATTCCATGTTTTGTTTTTCATATCTCCTTCAGTAGTTCGCCATTTCCCAGTCACAAAGAAAGTGAAAAACTAAGAAAGGGTATCTTCTTTCCAAAAAATATTTTCCATGGTAAGAAATATTTTTGACTCATTAAATTAATAGCAAGAATTCATTTTCTATACACATTTCGAATAAATCTGTGATTAGTGGTTCAATATTAGTTCCTATAAGTTATCAGAAGTATTCAATTTTGTTTTAGATATGTGCAGTGAAGAAAATTTCGAGAAAAACTTTTTCTCTTGGGCAGATTATTTAATCCTTGGAGCGATGCTTGTGATTTCCTGCGGTATAGGAGTTTTCTATGGAGTTTTCAATACGCACGAAAATAGCGAAGACTTTTTATTGGGTGGCACCACAATGGGAACTTTTCCAATGGCTATTTCGTTAGCAGCAAGGTAAATTATATAAGTTCCATGTATTTGATGGAAACTGTCGTTTTTCAACTCCCAATACTATTTTGGAACAATTTTATGTATGGGGGAATACAAAGTGGTTGGAATTCCAAAAATTCAGAAGTAATAATAGACGACTGTGGAGGCTTGCACAACTAGAGAGCTCCAAGGCTCTAGATAGTAATGATAGTAACCCAAGACTCTTTGCAATGTAAATCCTATCACCTAGATCGATTAGGTACTTCAACATATCATTGAACATTTACTGTAATGCATTCGCTACCTGATCAAAGGGTGCTTGAACTACCGATACTCTGGACCCTGGATGACTCGCTTCACCACAATGCTAGTCAAACTAGAGTCTCAACTGAACAGGTGTGATCCTTCAGCCACCTCATTTCCGCTTCTCACTATTCTACATCCGTTGCACTGAGAAATGGTTATTGATACAGGTGAGACCGAAGGCAAAAGCTCACCAATTGAGTGCCTCAGTGATATCTTGAAATCCTGCTCAAAATTGATAGATTTTCATCTGTTCTTGAGAATGGTGGAAGAGTAAATTTGGTGATAGAGAAATGAGCAGTAGTTCATCTCAAGAGAGAGTGATGTTGGAAACATGAGGAAGATGTGTAGCTTATAGATGGAAACACCTTAAATTTACTCTCAGGTAAAAGCTGCTACTTTGAAAATGTTTATCGTTGAGATCTTACTCTACTATTTTGCAGTAGAGAAGTGGACTTGGAGTGAAAACTTGAAAAATAATGCACCTTTATACGAGCAAGCATTCTAATCATGAACTCTTGCGTTAGAAGTTGAAAATAATAAAATAAGTTTAATTGTTCAGTACTTGAATTATCATTTTTCCACTCTTGAAGTTGGTGTTTCAAATAATGACATCTGGCGTGTTTTTTGGATACATATTCATCTATTCCTCTTTTTTGGTTTTGTAACCTTGACTTCTGTAATCTGGAGATTTTCGTCTTTGTGAATGGAACTTGCAATTTCCTTTCCTTTGTCTGTTACAACTTCTTTGGGAAATAGTTCAGGTGGTTCGCTAGGTAGGTACCCTTCTTTCTATTTGCCACTGAAATGCTCGTGCAAATCAAAAATTGATAGTAATTGGAAACTTGCAACAAGTGCTTTCTGATATATCGATAACTATATTATTTATTGTCTGTGCAAGCATTCTTAAAAAGGATGCAAAAATTATGTTTGGGAAAAAAATGTAAGAGTTACTGACCCGTCAAAATTGTTTTTATCTTTATTGTTGGGGCCCCTCTCGTGTGGAGAACCCTGGGCAGTATCCTCGCTTGCCCCCCCCCCCTAAATCAGGCACTGCATCCACCTTTGCTTCCGCTTGTTTTTTAATTCTCAATACATTGTTCACAATTCTTCTGATTTTTCCGCTGAGAACCTTGTTTGTCTGTTTACTATTCAAACAATACAACAAATAACTCAAGTTCACCACACAGAATAATTTCCCCAGTCAATGTACTAACACCAATTTCACTACACGAGTTCCTCGATGGCAATGATCTCTCGCCTCACTCCGCCATTTGGTCTACTGCGCATCCAATATCAGGAGGCATTGTTGAGCAAGAAATCTAGTAACATGCAGTATGGTAACGAAGTTATTCGTGTCAGGTTTTTTCGCAAAATCTGTTTCACATGTTTTCAACATTCGAAATATTTTTTTTAATATTCACCATTGTTTCTTTTTCAGTTTTGTCACTGCTGTGGAGCTTCTCGGTAACCCCGCAGAAATGTACTCTCACGGATCCCAATTCTGGATGATCTGCGTAGCTTTCATACTGGTAGTACCTCTCACTTCAAAACTGTACCTGCCGGTCTACATGAATCTGAGACTTACCAGCACTTACGAATACTTGTCTCTGAGATTCAGCTCCAAAACTAGATATTTGGCCAGCGTGTTGTATGTCTTTCAGATGGTGCTTTACACCAGTGTGGCTGTTTACGCTCCAGCATTGGCTCTAAGCAAAGGTATAGTGCGTGTGTCTTTGAAATTGAAATATTATTATAACTACAATCAATGACTCAATAACAACACTACAATAATTTAAACAAACAACCTATCAAACTGTAGGTGAAAGGGTAAAAATAGGTCTGTTCTAATGTTTACTCGATTTTTCAGTGACTGGAATTAACGTATATTTGGCAGTTACAATCGTCTATGCTGTATGTATATTCTATGCATCCCAAGTAAGTACCAGGGTTATCAAAACTCCCAAAATACCTTTTTTAAATACTCATATATCGCACTTTAAGGATATACTTACCAAACATATAAATTCTTTTATCTGGCGCTTTTCTGTCTTTTAAAATGTATTTTAGAAAAATTTAATGAATCAAAAATAACGTAATTGAAATATATGGCTGACAAATGGTTTTGAAATCTCTGCCGATATAATTAAACACTTCATTGTGAAATTTTCACTAAACAGATTTACAAAAACTTTAGGCTTCAGGCTTCTTCAGGCACCTGAAGAAGCTTTTGTATAGCGAAACACGTAATGTACAAGTACATTACATTAGTAAATTTACAGACCCTACAGAAATTCCCTTTATTGATATATACAGGGTGGGTCAGTAATAACGAAAAATGGCCAATTTCTTATGAATGGCATCTGGGTAAAAATAATTAGCTCAAACCCGTCGATTTTTATTCCGAATGGAAACTTTTTGCCCCTATTATTTATCAATCTCGTGACTTTCACCCCCCTACGAAGTGAAATCCAAAATAGGCGTTTTAAAATCAAACCTGAAAAAAGTTAACTTTTATTTTGTTTTTAATTCACCAAAGGAGGAATAATGGAATTCGAAATTTGCCCAATATCTTACTTATTGAACTATTACTTCTCAATATGGTGTAATGTTGCCGGAGTTATCAATGATAGCCCGTTGATATAATTCGTCCAGAGATGCTGGTTGGATTTTACAGATGGTCGTCTTAGAATGATCCCAGAAAATAATTATAACGGATTAAAATCTGGTGACCTTGTGGGCCACTCCCCTGATCCTCTTTGACCTCGTCATTGTAACGATCATTGTGGTCAAGAATGTATGTTGATTTTTCCGTGAAAGTTCCTGCAAATTTCAACAGGGTGCTTCATTAAATTGTAAACAATAGATTGTTTGCTATGGGTCCTTTGCCAGTGTTCATAGTTCTTATGCCACACTTTGCTTTTGTCGGACTTTCGAAAATGTAACGATCTCAACAGTTTCAGACAGTTTTCAATCGCCCAAACTGAAAAGTTGCCGCTGTGTGACTAGCTTTTGTGTGACTGAAAAGTTAAAATACCAGAAACGCAACATTCTTTTATTTTATCTTATTTATTCAACCAAATTGGCGTCTTCAGAAGATGTGGTAGACTAATTCTTATTCTGAACATGGCTTATATTCATTTCCATGGTCGTTGAAACGGTTTTAGTAACTCGCCTGTTCTGACCAATATATCTTTGTCAAAGTCATCTCCGCTTATTTCATATATCGCCAAGCTTTAGTTTTGGAAGCTACTTTCATGTTCAGCCTTTGAAAATACCTTCTAATCCTTTAGCGTGCCAAACAAATACTAAACAACGCAGCGTCTTCAAACTTGAAACAAATGCTTTATACACTGTGCACTTTCTGATGCAGTGCTATTTTTCAAACAGCTACCGCCATCTCTAAGTCAGGCCGGGTACTTATGGAACCGTCCTCAGAGACCAAGTTAAGAGTTAGGATTTAGACTACTTCATCTCTTCAAGACGCCAACTTGGTTGATGAAAGGCGCGTCGAGAAGAGTGTTGCAGTTCTGATATTTAGGAGCACTGTTTGTGAAAAAGTTGCACAGAATGTGGCTTTCCCAAATAATCATTTCCGTCATATACCACATATTTCACTTTCAATTCTCGAACTCATCATGTATTAATTGATTCAGGTCAAAATTCTCATTTCAGGGAGGAATGAAAGCAATAATCATAACAGATACATTCCAAACGGTTATTCTGGTGGGGTCCCTAGTTCTCATTTTAGTTCTAGCAAATGAATTAGTAGGAGGAACAGAATTTGTTTGGTCCCACAACTATAAAACCAACCGGCTAGAAATTTTCAAGTAAGTGTGAAGTTTTTTAAAAATATAATTGTCGTTTTCAACCAACTGTTTCTAGTTTTGATCCGAATGTGACCGTGAGGCACAGTTTTTGGTCAGTGGTCGTAGGAGGAACCTTCTATTGGCTCACCATGTTCTGTTCAAATCAGGCGACGATCCAAAAATATCTTTCTGTAGAACACATTAGTCAAGTAAGGAGGTATAGTTATGAACACAAAATCGGTTGCAAATATTATTGAAACCGTTTTTTTTAAGTGCGATTTGGATTTCCTCCTTTGGGCTCATTATGATTTACTCCATCAATTTCTACACAGGAATGATACTGGTGGCTCATTTCAAGGACTGCGATCCTTTGCAAATTGGGGAAATCACAGCTGCTGACGAAATCCTTCCCTACTATGTCATCAACATACTGGGTCGCTTGAAAGGAGTAACAGGGTTTTTCGTTGCAGGAATTTTTGCAGCAAGTTTGGGGTAAGTCAACAATTTGAATAAAAGGACGATATTCATTTTGAAATGGTTCTTTTTATTCCAAAGCCTGGAAGTCGTCATTATTCATTTATTTTTAACGGTATGATGCGGACAGTTACAAATTGTTTAAAAACATTTAATAATTCTAAAATACAAATCAGGACACTATAAAACAACAACAATAATTAATTGTCGCTCCGGGCGACTTCATTAATTCCAGTGGCGCATTTGCTTTTTGAGCTGCAGGAAACCCAGAAAAACCTGCAGCACCATACCATCTGAAGATCTTGATCTGCCAATATCCTCTCACTCATAAAATGAAATGTGGGGTGTCTCCAGAGGCTCCACTAAATTCACTGCATCGCCAGAACACTTCGTGACACGACTATCGTCAAACGTAAACCAGTCCGTTTCGTCTTTGACCAAGGCGTGATAATGACCAAATTCAATGCCAGAACCACAGTGAACAATGACTGCATGAAGATTATAATAGTGGTCTGCTAGATTGAAATATTCATCTATTTCGAACCTTCCAAAGAGTTTCTTGCTTCCGTCAGAGGTTGAGTCTTGTTTGAAGATCATCAGTGTTATTATTAGATTGACTGGTGCCTCAGCTATACATGTTTTCTTATAACAGTCAGTTAGTTTGGCGCTTGTTTGACAATACAGTCGATCATCACCAGTTAAAAGTTCCATTTTCAGATAATTTAACAATAAGCTCTGCACGGACTGGTTATTAGTCATATGAGGAAACGCTAGTTGAAGTTCCAGAAATTCACATACATTTTTGCTACCTCTTGACAAGTGAGGATTTTTCCAGCAAAAGATTTACAAACACAATTCCAGATCATTTCCACTACCTATGGGTACAAATTCAACGTGGGTTGTTCTACATCATAGCTCATGATAGAAATCGAACTTCAGAAAGTGAGATCCCGTAAGATTAGACTTTGAGGGTTGCCATTATTTATGCTGGTCAACGGAAACAAGCATAAAGTTTGCTTGAGAAAGCTCTTGTATAGCGAAACACGTGTCGCGTTTTTTCTAAAACCCTTTATAGTGAAAATCACACAATAAATTGTATTAATTAGTTTTTAATAAGACCACATAAAACACATTTTGATAATGTCTGCATCATTTCAGAACTGTTGCGTCAGCTTTGAACAGTTTAGCAGCGATAACAATGGAAGACTTTATGGAATCTGCTTTTGGAATTAGAATTCCTAAAAGCAGGGGTGCAATAGTTGCTAAAGTATTAACAATTGCTTATGGAGCTGGTAGCTTTGGATTGGTATGTATGATTTCTTGTGAATAATTTGTATTTCAACTTATATTTCTATGAAATACCACATGGTGTAAGGTGTGGTGACATAGGTAGCCATCTAACCCCCTCATATACCTTAGTTTTTTCGGTATATAACCTTCCACAAACTTTCAGATTGCGGAAGGTTATATATAAAACAGAAAGAAATATTGAGGCCTTCACAAAAACATGTTTCTTTAAAGAATTTGTTTAATACAGATTATGTAAACGACAGAACAATTTCATCGTCTACTTCCAGGTGTTTTTGGTAGCTAATAGTGGAAGTGTGATGCAAGTGGCGATTAGTTTCAATGGAATGGTTGGAGGAGTTACATTAGGTCTTTTTTCGCTTGGGATGTTCGTTCCATGGGCAAATTCCAAGGTAACTATCACTAGCTAAGCGAAATACCACAATTAATTTTGCTTTTCATAGGGTGAAGAAAAAGTGGAGATACTGTCAAATAATATAGCACCTGTACATACTCTTACAATTTTCACAATTACAATGTTTTCCTTTGAACTAAAAAGGTATTTTTTTAGAGGAAATTAGTATCGACTTTTACTCCAAATATGTGTTATGAAATTGAAACCGATATCATTGACAGAAATTTTACACTGTAAATATACTAATTACTCTACTATTGTTGACCCACAAGCATCATGCAGAGGCCTATTCAAGCAATACAAAATAAAAACTTTTATGGATATATTCATATTTGAAATTTGTTTATAGTTATACTAATCAAGTTTGGACGACATAGCTCCTATCATAGTATTGATACGAGAAATCGTAATAACTTTTAGGTTAAACCCTATAAATACAACCTAACTGCCAAGTCCCCTTTTCATTTGTCTTGCAGAGATTAATAGAATCCATGTTTTCAAACGCAATTTGAAAATGTTTTTACTGAATCACAGTTTCTGTACTGTACAAGAATGTCTTAATGTGACTATATGCTTCTTCTTCTTCATCTTTTTGCATTCACGTATCTGACTATAAAAAATAAATGGTATTGTTATTATTACTGAAATCTGTGGCAAATGGATATGCTTCATATTTGAAGGGAAAAAGTAAAGAGATAAAATTTCACTTATATAGAAATCTATCAACATTGTTTCTTAGAATTTTGGGTATTCAACAAAATCCACTGTTGTACTATCAAGTTGACAGCTCTATAAAATAAGGAAATCAATAGTCTTATCTATCTCTATATCATGGATAAATACTAATATCAAATAAATGTCCGTTTTTTAGGGAGCGATATGTGGAAGTGTGATAGCTGCAGGTCTTATCACCTTGATGTGTGTGGGCCAACAAATTGCTATAGCAAGTGGTAATCTTGAAGAGCCTGTGAAAACTACCAGCACTGAGAACTGTGCCGGTATGAATCTAACTGTGGTGGTAGAAAAAAGGGCGGTACACAATACGTAAGTCAATATTTAATTTCTTCAATAAGTATAGTTTGGATTTTTGGGGAAGAAAAGTTCTGGCTTTCTTCTTATTCTAGTAGAGAGCTGAAACCTTTCTTTTCCTGGAGTATTAAAGTATTTTGAATCACGGTGTCACTTTAATATTGGAATTTTTTCATATCCATTTTTTCAACGTAACAGTGGACATTCTCATTTTCTATTCAATATCTAGATTAAATATACCGAGTAGTTTTAGTAGAAACAGTTTATATTGAAGAATGTCGATATTGTATGAACTCCCTGGCAATTACAATCAATATTGTTGAAATGTTCAACTTCGTAAAAACCATTTTTGGTCTTGTGTTATGAAATTTAAGAAATCTATGACCAACAAAATTGAATACACACAAATAAACAAAATTTTCATTAGCATGTAATGTAGAACGTAAGACCATCAAAGAGATGAACAAACTTTAATCCGTATTTCGAAAAAATGTCAATTCCATTCAGATATGTATTTCAAATCAGTGTTTTATGAATTTGATAGTATTCGAAATGGGGCCATTTGAATGTTGAAAGTAATATTTTCCAATAAACACGATAAAGTAAAAGGTCCTATAGACCTTTTGTTCCTCATTTTAGATACAAATGACTGCATAATAAAATAATCATTTGCAGGCATGTTTTCGTTCTGTACCGAGTTTCCTACATCTGGTACTCTGCCATCGGTTGCTTGACCACAATCGCATTGGGAGTGATCATTTCATTCGCTACGGGCCCTACAAAAATGGAAGATCTTGATGACGAACTCTTATCACCCCCAATAAAAAACCTTCTCTACTCCCTACCGAGCAGAATGAGAAAGTTCATGAATATTCCTTCTAAACCGAGTTATAGCAATGAACGTCCGGAGAAAGGAAAAGTATTCATCGACTTGGATTCCAGATCTTTGCAAGATTATGTGTCACAGACGAGCGACTTGGGAAAAAAATTCAGGAGGCCATCATCAGAGTTGAGCTAATTTAAAATTCATTACCCATCACTTAGGCTTAGGTATTTATTTCTTATTTAAGTTAACTGTAAAAATAAAATGATTAAAAAAAATGTTGAACGGTTTTATTGCAAAAAAAAATAATGCACTAAAAGCTAAAAAATAATTCGAAAGGTAGTAGACATCACACCGCTCACCTCAGCAATCTAAGGTATTGATGAGCAGCCGTCACATCACTCTCGTCAGCAATCTAGTAGACCAATAACATTCTTCTCAGCAATCTACGGTATTGATCAATACCGTAGACGTAGACCGTAGACCAATAATACTCTGCTCAGTAACCTACGGTATTGATCAATACCGCCGACCAACAACACTCCTCAGCAATCTACGGTATATATTGATCAATACCGTAGACCAATAACACTCCTCAGCAATATACGGTTTGTATCAATACCGTAGATCAATAACACTCTCCTCAGCAATCTACGGTATTGATCAATGCCGTAGACTAATAACACTCTCCTCAGCAATCTACGGTATTGATCAATACCGTAGACCAATAACACTCTCCTCAGCAATCTACGGTATTGATCAATGCCGTAGACTAATAACACTGTCCTCAGCAATCTACGGTATTGATCAATGCCGTAGACTAATAACACTCTCCTCAGCAATTACGGTATTGATCAATGCCGTAGACTAATAACACTCTCCTCAGCAATCTACGGTATTGATCAATACCGTAGACCAATAACACTCTCCTCAGCAATATGCGGTATTGATCAATACCGTATCTGGTTTCTGCACCGATTACAACAATGTTCTGATGATTCGTGAAGATAAATATCCATCCTACCAGACAGTGCAGCATTTTAGTTCTTACAAAGTTTTCCGGAAAATACCAAATGAAAACCAAAAACTTAAATAAAAAAAAACATCTTTATAAAACAACAAGTCTTTTATTCATTTTGTATTAAAAAGTATATCACATAAATGAATGTTTCAACAGGGCATGGAAATACCACCATTTACCTCAATAATATTACGAGCTTACTCCATAGAACGTCGTTACTCACTAGGACACAGAAATACCTTCACATTTCATCCACCTTTATTTGAAATTCCTCACAAACATCAATGCTTTTTGATTCCTGATAAATAAAACAGAAGAAAGGAACATCTTCATAAATGCATAAAACAGTCTAAAAAATTTGAGAAGAACCAGACAACTCTTGATTCTAAAGTAGAAATATTTTTAAATCATTTCAAATGTAGAACTTAATGAAAAGCCCCCTCCAAAAACTCTCTTTGGTCATTTGAAAAAGAACGCATACTTTTACTCGGTACATCAAAGAGAGAACTATACAAAACGTGAGTGATAGCTATACAAAACGTCAATTGATGACGTATATTTATCGTTTAACAGTTTATTGTTGTTTATCGTGAAGTTTCCACAATTTGAAGACTTCTATATCACACAAATAGTTATTTTCATAACTACAAAATGTGGACACTTCGTATTATAATTACTAATAAATTTTAACCTCAAATTGAAAATGACTCTAATATTCTGCATATTAGAATATTTAAATTGACAGATATCGAAGATGGAATGTAGAATATGAAATATACACGTAATGTACTCACAGAATAGTTATTATAGTATACCTATTGGCAAATTTTATGAAATTGAACTATAATCGTAACATGGGGTTACTCTTTAGTGGATGGGTTTTAAGAATGAAAGCAACTCTCCATCTGTAGATCAGTATTTTTTTCGGATCAATACCCAAAGCGTTTCATTTTCATTACTTTTTCGACTTATTCAAGATATACAAATTGATAACACATGTGTAAAGATCCATTTATCATACTGTAACTACACAAGTTGCAACTTGTGCATATGTTCTCTGCTGAGAACATTGAATGGTGTTCCCCCATCACCCAAACGAGAATCTAATAAATCCAATCACCATCAGAATTCATCGTGAAAGCTCCTCGCAGTGTCCACCATTTTCGATTTCAGGAACAAGTCAGGATGCGCGAGGATTTCGTCTAGCGACAGCATGTTGTCGTGGTCATTGTCCGCTAGCGCAAGCAGAGCTTCTGCTTCGTGCTCGCTATGCCTGGGGCTCTGAGGAGCCACGTAGTGGAGCAGTTCCCTCCTGTCCGCTTTCCCATCGCCGTTCAAGTCGATGGATTTCCGAAATTCTGCCCGACGCTCGTTTTCGTCTTGTCGCACTATCAACGTCTCGTCGCCGTTTCCTTGAAAGAAAAATACAAGATATAGGCTTTTATGTCCGGAGTCACCATTGAAAAGAACAAAATCCAGGATAGAAGGCCGTGATTGAACGGAATCATTCGATCACAGCCGTTATCTATGTCTTGTCTTTCTATACCTCCTTGTCTGCGCTTGTCTGTCTCTCTGCCTCTTTGTGTCTGTGTTTATGTCTGTTTTCGTTAGTCTGTGTTCATCTAGTCGTCAACTATTTGTGTCTGTTCAACTGGATCCGTCTGTCTTTCTCTGTATGCATCTATTCGCGTCCATTTTTCCATATACATGTTTGTATCTTACTGTTTACGCCTGTTTGTGTTCTTTTACATAACATAACGTCGGTCTCTATGAACTGATTCTATTTGCCTGCCTACCTGCTACTGGTGTTCGACTGTCTGTATATCTGTGTCCGGCAATCTAATAACATATTCCAATAGTAAAACTAATGCACATTCATCGCATTTCTGTCATTCATTAACGAATTAACAAATGAAGAACGGAAATACACAAACTGTGTCCTACTTTTATTAATAGAAACGCTGATGTCTTTGAGCCTGTATATGTATGTTCATTCATCTGTCTGGACCCTTTTCTCTGTCATATCTTTCCAATTTCATCTCTGGATGTATCTGTCTTTGTATATAACTCTGCATGTACCCATCTGTTCCTTTTCTATACGTCCGCACCCATCTATGTCTATTTCAGTCTGTAACCATATCTGTCTATATGTGTTGTTCACAGGTCTGTTCACAGGTTTGCATCTGTTTGTCTGTCTCCGTCAGTTTGTGTCTCTATATGCAACCACAACTATCCTATTTCAATTTATTCATGCATTTCATAAAAAAATAAATATGTCAGTGAACTCACCTTCTGTTTGAAGGATTGCAAACTCGTCTTCCGTCAACATTTCATCTCCGTCCCTGTCAAATTTGTCGTATAACTCGTCAACGAGAGCCAACTGATTGGCAACACTGGATTCTGGATGGGTAAACGCCAGAAATTCATCCAGGGTAAGTGTATCGGGGTTGGATCTAGCAGCCTCCATCCACGACGCCTTATCTTTCATGATCCTTTCTGAAATATTCATAATTCAGAGTTACAATAACGTCGAAATAAAATAAGTATGTTGATACTGTCCCCGAAATATACCCCACTACCTGCCTTTGATAGATCTCTGCAACCCTTTGTGCCTTTTCTCGTCATGGCTCTCTACATACTTTTTGCTAAAGCCACGCTTCTTCAAGAAATAGGTGTGGTACTCCTTCCAGGATATTACTCCGTTAGGAGGATCTACGTCGATCATCGTGAAGAGTTCGTGGTTGCCACCGACAGCTAAAGAGATGTGCTCCATTATTTTTCTTCTGATCCAAACAGACAGCTCCTTGGAATCGAGTTTTCTGTTCTTGTCTTCGTCTGCCCTGAAATTGAGTTTAGTTGCTGTCGGTTCTGTGCTGTCTCAAATGGAAATATTCAATACTTTTTCTACGAAGCAGATCTTTAATATTTTTTCGAGTAAAAAAGTGACATTCATCTTGAAAAGAGGGTTCGAGAAAAACTATATCAGGCTTATCAGCTCCTATGAGCCTGAGAGTGGGGAATGAATAGTTCCAATGAATCCGGCACTTCTTATTTTCTATAATGAATTCAATATTCCCCGGAGCGTAGGGCGAAGAATACCTGTGTCTCTGCAATACCGTGAAAGTGCCGTAGATTGTAATGAAAAGCAATGATGTTGAAGATGTTGGCCTATCCTTGTGTTGTATTATTATTATTATTATTATATGAACGATCAACGCTGCTGTGAAAGTGATCGATTAATGATCGATGTAGGCGTAGTTTTTCAACGAATATGAAATATTATAATTTGTTCGTAAATACTTGTAGAAATAACAGGATTTGAAAAACAAGAATATGTAAAATCTTGTTTCTGAGAGGGTGGAATTATTTCGTTAGGTTCCCTTAAGCATTTTTCTGTACACAATACTATTAATTTAAACTGCTTTTTTATATCATATATTTAAATGAATTATATTGTTAATAATGAGTGATTTATTTGCTGGTATCTTTTTGGCAACACTGTTTTTGACAGATCACGCGTGAATCGTGCCTTGTGTCATTGTCAAACTTGTTCAGTTTGGTCTATAATTTAACCATGAATCGACTTACGAATGAACAACGCTTACAAATTATTGAATTTCATTATCAAAATTCATGCTCGGTGAAGAAAGTGCATCGTGCACTTCTTCCAATCCAAAATTCATAGGCAGTTTCGTCGGCTTACTGAGAGAGCTATTCGGAAGCTTGTGACTGAATTTCGAACCCAGTTTACATTATTGGACATTAAACCACCAACACGCATATGTAAAGTCAGGACCGAAGAAAATATTGCGGCTGTATCCGCTAGTGTTCGTGATGACCGTGAAATGGTGATTCGCCGCCGCGCCGATCGCAGCAATTGGGCCTCTGTTACTCCACTACGTGGAAAATTTTGCGAAAGGATTTGGGTGTAAAACCTTATAAGATACAGCTGGTGCAAGAATTGAAGCCACACGACCTCCCACAACGTCTAACAGTTGGTAAATGGGCGCTAGCAAAGTTGGATCCACATTTTTATAGAAAAATTGTGTTTAGCGACGAGGCTCATTTCTGGTTGAATGGATGCGTTAACAAGCAAAATTGCCGCATTCGGAGTGTAGACCAACCACAAGCATTGCAAGAGCTACCGATGCATCCCAAAAAAGTCACTGTTTGGTGTGGATTTTGGGTCGGCACGCGAAACAATGGCCCAATTAAGAGCCGCCTTCGGTGAACAGTTTATCTCACGTTTGGGGCCCGTCAATTGGCCGCATAGATCGTTTGATTTAACGCTTTTGGATTAATTCTTGTGGGGTCATGTTAAGGCTCATGTCTACAGGGATAAATCAGCAACGACTGACGCTCTGGAAGCCAGTGTTGAAGCATTTATACGTGAAATACCGGTCGATATGTTAGAGAAAGTGTGCCAAAATTGGACCTTGCGCATGGGCCATCTAAAGCGGAGCCGCGGACAACATTTGCATAAAATCATCTTCAAACATTAAATTATATTGATCGTTCTATCGATATCAATAAAGATTCCATCAATTTTTTCAAATTTTTTGTGTTGTTTTGAAAGTCAAATCCTATACCTCTCAAAAAATCACCCGTTATTTCAAGTTATCAATTCATATTTTCTGTTTCATTAAGGATGAACTTAATCAAAATTGTTGAGATCAACAAAAATCTACCCAAAGAGATATTTCATATTTTTTTACTAGTTTCAAATATATTATAATTACCTTTTTCATTTAATTATATTTGTAAAAAACGCAAGATCTTTGATAAGACTTTCGTTAACACGTAAAATGTACAGATTTCTCTCAAATTTAATGTATCTCGAACTATATATTTATTTTATAAATGTTTGGTATTTTCACAGAGAGGGTAAAATTTTTTTAAAATTTTTTTCAATACTTCAGAATATATTCCTGAAGTTATTGAAAAAGGCAGATTTTTTCAACAGCTGTAAAAATGATAAATAATATTTTGCAGTTGATTAGAAGATATTTCAAAAATTTTAAGGAAAATATCCCTTTTTTTATTATTCTCAAAAATAGTAGACAACTTCAAATGGTTGAAATCTCAATTTTCTGTCGAGATACAATATGTGAGACATGAAAGAACGAATAAAAACATAGTTTCTATCAGGGCCATAGCGAAAAGAAAAACCAGGGGGGGAGGGAATCCAAATTTTCCCAACCCCACCAGCAAAATTTCCCAACTTTCGAAAAAATGAAAGCCGAGGGATTAGTTACTACTATAATATATTGATTTTCTTCCAAAGATTGGCTGAATGCTTATGCCCGTTAGGGTATGCACAAACAAAAATAAATTTTGGTGATTATAAAAATAATAATGGGAATTATTCTAGTTTGGACCAAGGTTCTTGGTCTTCCACCATGTATAGGAATATTCAATACAAATGAAACTACACTTTATTGTGCTTATTGTTTTCTACTATTATTTTTTCTATCTTCACGGCCCGAAATTTCCCAACTTTTCCAAGTCGAAAAAACAGCAAAAAGTTGTCACTTCAAAATTTGTGGACTGTTCAGGACTGTTCTCTTACTTGGTAGAAATTAAACTTTTTTGAAGATTTCAAACAACTCAGAATTGTCTTCAAGTTATGCATGTTGGGAAATCCCAACCTTCTCCTGGTTCTTTCCCTTTTCTTATTACCTCTCCTTTTCTTTTCTCTCATTTTAATTTTTTTAATTTTTATTCATTTTTTACTATTTTTTTTTTCTATCTTCATGGCCCAAAATTTACCAACTTTTACCAACTTTTTCCCAAGTCGAAAAAGCAAGGGGGAGGCTCCCCTCCATCGCCCCCCATGGCGACGGCCCTGGTTTCTATATCTATATAAAAACTTCGTAAAAGTGAAAAAACTTACATCAAAAATTATGAAAAATGTTAAGAAAAGTGGCTGAAAAATTTAAAAATAACTCAATAGTCAAAGGGATTTCTTCACAAGCGGAACTGTCTTAGTTCTCACACCGTAATTTTTCCGAATCAAAAACTTCATCTCTCATCTATTTCAACTCACTTTTCGAAAACTTCCATCAAAATCCCCGTCTGATCCTTCCTAGAATTGTTCTCGTCATTCACGTTAACCAGATACTCGTTTTTGTCTTCATCGCCATCTTCAGTCCTCTTATCGGTATTGAAATTGCTGTTTCTTATTCTAATTTCAAACGAATCTTCAGGCGGATTCACTTTGAGTTCTTTGATTATTGTTATGTTATGCTTCAGCGGCACTGCCAGCATCCATATCGCGAAGAAAAAGATGAAGTAGCACAATATAGGGACCGTGTAAGACCAACGTAGACACTTGAGATATTTTAATCTTGCTGTCACTTTCATTTTTACTTTGGAATGCGTGCCTTGTAGTGGGTCAAGTTGGTTTCCATTTCATTGTTTCACTGATTTACTTGTTTCTGAGTATCCCGCGTTTTGATCACTATTTCCTAGATCCACATGTTCAACTGTTAACGAATACACAATATGTTGCGTTTGAAACTTTCTCCCAGTCGATAAATTAAGGTGCGGTATGCGCCTATTCTAGAATTCAAAACGTAAACTATTCATTTTAAATTCGTGTAGAAACTCGAACTGGGGTAAGGTTTTTGTTGTTATCCCGCAACAGAGTAATTCGACAGTGTGAGAGATTTTGGTGGAAAATCAATAAAACTGCTCTAAAAGGTAAACGCGCAAGATATAGCTACAGGGTGATTCAATTACGATTGAAGTTTCATTTCGATTTCAATACCTGTACATTCAGAACGAACAACAGTTGATGATTGTGTTCAACTTACCAAGGTTGGAAAAATGATTGATGCAGAAGGGTGGGTCAACTAATATTCAACTACGTTTCCATACAGTGTTTACCCTTCGCCCTTAAATGTTGGCAACCTTGACATCAAACATTTAAATGTCAAACCCCTTGTGATATTTCAATTGACAGTTTTTGATAAGTAAAAGTTTGTCTCAAACAGTATATAACGGATATATCCACCAGAAATTATTCAAAAAAGAATTGGAACAGGCAAACGAATCAAACTGAATATTTGAATTGGCGAGTAACATCGAGACAATGCCCTAATCAATAAAAAGGGGTAAATTCACCTTAATATTTTCTACCAGGATTAACCCTGTTGATCTTGCTGGACACTCAGTAGTTCCCCGAATAATTCGTCTCAAACAAAAATTACGTCGTTTTCACTATCAAGAGTACCTACTGTTGAAAAAGAACAGCCCATCAATAATTTGGGAACCCCCTATTGTAGCGCCCCACACATTGAGCTTTTCTGAACATTTCGTCATCTAGTGCGAATTTTGAAACGCCCGGTAACGATACATAGATATGAGCAGAGAGTCGCAATTTTTAAATGTGTATAATAACCATAAAACCTCCCTAAGAGAATTCATTTTTGTTTGCGAATGACAAAACAAACATAAATATATTATACATATGAATACATAATCTAGATTTCATAATTTTCAAAATCATAAAACAATACAAGCTTTGTATATAAAGACTATCCTGAAAGAAGGATAATGTATGTGTATTCATTTTTTATTTACTATTTGACACAAAGTCGAGCGCCATCTAGTCATTGTCTATAGATTTAGTGACCGTCCGGATACGCCCCCTAGAAACTTAATGCAAAATTACAAAGTTGAAGCAGGCCTGGACTCCGATAATTCAATGAGAATTGTATTGAAGTGAAAACATGGAATCCCACACTTTTATTTTGAATCATAAATTATTAAGTTTTTAACATGTCGAGAAACAAATTGCTAGCGAATGTTCTTTATAATATCTCTATTATAGGGATATAACTGACAAAATGGAAGTTATGAAACCTGGGATATGATGAATAAAAAAACTGTACACTTATGATACACTGTTTGGAACCTTTGGTGAAGTAATGAATATTACTGGAGTTTTATCCAAACCTTACCTTTCAACACTTCGACACGTATGTCAATCACCAAATGATAATTTCCAAGAGGAAGATCACAAACCACCTACTCTAAGTAGTTTGTGAGAAAGATTAACTTCCTCTTGAAGAGTTTTTTTTTGGCTTTATGCACCTCAACGGTAGCAAAAGCCATTATCATAGAGAGAGAGAGATGAGTTTTTTCTTCCTCTTTATACTATGGTACAACTAGTAAAGCAGATGAGTTAGTGATCCATAACACCAGATAGCGCTGTTCCGACCTGCCAAGATCACATCAGTGGTGCTAAGCTGAACCTGTCAAATGTCTTTGAAGAATGAGTATAAAGTAAAGTCCATGACACCTCCTCCTAGATGGCGTCTTGGTGTGATTTGTGTTTCATACGTTAGTGAAAGTATTCATTAGCACAATTGAACAACTCAAAATGCACTAAATCCCAAAATTATGAACAAAATATGTTTCACATTCAGCCGTACCGTCTTCTGTGGCTGTACGGTCTAGCTGTCTACCATTTAATATCACCTTTTTTACGTACCTACGCTCTCATCGGTAGAAAATTGCCCTTTGGATGGGTTGAGGGCACAGAACTATAACTTATTTTAGTTCTGTGGTTGAGGGTTTGTGACACAGAACACCCTTTTGTGATCTGATCTGAGTTGGCTGGCGCTAGATTGTTGGCATTCTTGGAATATCTGAGATTAAATGAGGTTTTTCACCTTTTATTTTCCCATTTAACATTTTCTATTTGGAAAAACAACTTTCTTGATTGGTGCATCTGTCTGAATCGTACTCAAACTTGGCTCGATTTCCTCAAAACATATTTTTAACGCAAGTCATTTATTGTTTTCATTGGAGACAAAGAAACGCTGAAACATCATTGTTTTCTACTTTTGATTTTCATCAGAAGGTTAGAAAATATGAAAAACAACGGAGCAAGAAACTAATCAAATTTTAAAGTGAACACTGAATAATTAAAAATCCGTAGACCTAACTCATCCGAAATGAAGGTAACAGTAACTACTTTAACAGATTTCATATTCGTCCTGGACGTATCTGAAGATCTGGAACTTGAGAACTTCAAAGCCTTTTGCGAAATTGAATCTGGCTTTCGTGCATCGGAAATTGTCATCGCCTACAATGGAAGGCCCTTGATGGACAACAAGATGTCTCTCAAAGACCATGGAATACGTGATGGGGATGCCGTCATTCTTCAGCACATGCAGAGTTCGCAGACCAGTCTAGACCAACCAGGTAAGTAGTTCCAGCTTCGTAGTATCTTTTTTTTTTTCATAGGGCAATTGCTTTTAGTTAGCTTAGACTTCAGTAACATACAAATTCCTAATAATCCGGCAGTGAGAAACAGACCCAATGAAGATGACCCTGTTCTTATCAGAGACATGTTCCTAGCGAATCCGGATCAACTAGCCTTATTGAAACAGAACAATCCGAGATTGGCAGATGCCCTTCTTAGCGGAAACATAGGTAAGTAGGCGGCCTATGACAACAGTGAATAATATTTTTTTCTTATTGAAAAGTAAAGAATTCTAAAAATATAATCTCATTGAATAACAAAAACATCCGATGAAGAACACATATATACATTTATAAATCTAAACATATACCTATGAAAAGCTAGTTGCACTTACATCAAAAAATCAATGAGTAGATAAAAGGTCTATTGTTGAAATGTATCAACAATGTAGCAATTTATTATGTTGAGATGAGTTTTCAATTGAGATATTAGGACTTTTCACAAAAATTTCAAGTATGTTGAGAAGTTTAGGCCCTAGTTTCGGCTCCAGTGGTTGAGCGCGGATCGATGGGGGCACAATAGGTTCATGTGGTCTGTTGAAAAAATGAGGTGAATTTTCAGTTTTTTCCAAAAATATTTATTCATTCATCAATTTCTATTTTGTGTCCTTCAAAGTAGTCCCCTTCTAATCCTCGTAGTTCTGATATGCACTTTTTGGTATGTCCTGGAGCTCTCTCAGTGATTCAGTTTTAATCTCCTTCAATCGTCGCAAAACACCGTCCTTTCAAGGGTCTCTTCAATCTTGGAAGTAGAAAAAAGTCACAGGGGGGCAAATCTGGTGGCTGAGGCGTTTACTGACGATTAACTGAAGAATAAATAGATATTTTTTAGACGAAATGAAAATTCACCTTATTTCTTGAACATACAACGAACGTAGTTTCACAGCATTTGAAATTCACCTTTCAACTTGAAGAATATTCAGCTAAAAACACTGGGACCGCTGGAGTTGTTGACATTTTGTTCGGTGAGTTCCATGACCAATCAAAATGCATGCTATTGCCATTCTAGATACGTTTGCTTCTGTCCTGCGGGAACAAGTTCAAGCTCGACAAGAACGTGAGCATCAGCGCTTGAGGATGGTGAATGCTGATCCATTCGATACCGAAGCGCAGCGCCTGATTGCCGAAGAGATTCGGCAGAAAAACATTGAAGCTAACATGGAGGCCGCCATGGAGTATAACCCTGAATCGTTCGGCACAGTAGTTATGCTATATATCAACTGTAGGGTCAATGGTTATCCAGTTAAGGCATTCATAGACTCTGGTGAGTGGATTTTAGTTTTTTTTAATATTCGTTTTTCTGGCTTGCACAGGTTTTTGAAAAGTTTTTGATTGGATCTATGCATTTTTATCTGCTATAGAGATTCGGAAGTCAAAACTTGGTGATACAGTATATTTCAGGAAGTATGGCCATCCACGAGTCAAAAATCAACCATTTCTGGAACTTACTTCTGGCAATAAAAACTTATTAAATTTTTTTTCACGATGATATGCTGTGGACCTTTATTCACTTGCCGCCTCTAAATTTTTCCATACAAAACATTAAATTGTTTCAAAATTGTATTTTTTTTTCAGCAAACTGCATACCAGGGTTCTAGCAGAACCATCCCTCCGTAAATAATGATAATAATGTTTGTTGTCATTTTCAAATTGATTATTTCCTTCCTTTCTTTGGAAGATCCCCAAAAATCAAGATGGAGTAGTAGAAAGCCAAAAACTTTCTTTCCCAAAAATAAATCACTCCTGAAAATATAACCCCTTCAATTCAAAAAAGATTCCTCTTGGCTGGAATTAAATCAAATAGATAAATGAATGTTATTACGATGTCACCGATGACATAAGCAGATCAAGCTTATTCCGTGAATTCGTAATTCATGAATGAAATATGTGTGTATGTTCTATAATACTATCTAATTTGGTACTGAAGAGCCTTAGGGCAAGTGTCTTAAGGCGAAACATCGATGTATACCAGTGAGGATGACAGTGTTCCATGTAAGTGCAATTTGTTACCATTCATTTAAAGTAGAACTCATGTGAATGATATCTGATTTTCATTCCACAACAATGTTTGAAATACAAACTGAGTAGAGAAAAGTATCTTCTGTATAATTCACTGTTCATATAGAAGTATTTGTTTCGAAAGAATTTTTTTCTTTCGTGTAATTCAATGTTTATATGAAAGTAGCTGTTTCAGGAGGACTTTCTTTCAGTTTGTGTCTGAAAGTTACTTCTTTGCATGATCTACACATCCATGTATAGAGTTACTTATTTTCAAATTGATTACTTCCTTCCTTTCTTTGGAAGATTCCCTCATCCTCTTTTTTTGTATCAAGATGGAGTAGTAGAAAGCCAAAAACTTTCTTTCCCAAAAAATAAATAAATAAATCTCAACACAGTACATTCAAGGGCTCAAGTTGAAAGATAAAAACAGATAAGTCCTTGAATTCGCAGTTTGCCTCGAAATGAAATTGCAGTTTGCCCTCAAAATCGCAGTTTGCTCTTGAAATCACAGTTTACCTTTAAAATCGTAATTTGTCTTCTAAATCGCAGAGGTTACAAAGCTCAAGTCCTAAAGTATACATTGTCAAGTAAATACAGTACAAATACAAATAATCATATCTAAAACTGTGTAAAAATTTTAATGAGAAAACTAAAAGACCAATAGAATAAGAACAAGAAATCTTCAAAGTATTTTCCGAAGTTTTAATAGGCTTTTTCTATCAAAACGTCCTTTACTGCATTATCGAAGGCGTCTAAGTGCCTGTTGTCATGTACCAGTTTCAACATGTTCAAACATTTTTCATTCATTCTGGGTCCGTTCTCTAAGGTATGTCAAACGACACTCGACTTTTCTGATCTACAAAACCAAATGTGTGAAAAATGTTCTGTGAAACGAGTTATTATAGCCCGCCTGGTTTGACCAACATACTATTTGTTGCAATCCTCACAGCCAGTGTCATTTCCTTTTGTGTCTTCTTGTCTTTCAAGGGTCCCAAGATTTGTTGAAGTTTATGGGCAGGTTTGAAAACCACCTTCATGTTTAATTTACCGAATATTCGGAACAATCCATTAGTGTAGAGGCATTTCACTGTTTTCATAAGTTTGTTGCTGAAATATTTTGACTTTTGAGCAGCCATATCTACGAAAGTTGACAGGAAATCAAAGTTTTGACTTCAGATTCATCTTCAGGACAAGAATACATGCGTTTGTTGACAAATTTTTCAAAAATTGGCACCAGTCAAAGCAGTTTTTCACCTGTACTTGTTTTAAATGAAATAATGAGTATATTGTAACACAGGGGCACAAACTACTATTATGTCGAGCCGATGTGCTGAGAGGTGCAATATAATGAGACTGGTCGATACCCGGTGGGCTGGTATCGCAAAGGGTGTAGGAATTCAAAAAATTATTGGCCGCATTCACATGGTCCAGATCCAGATAGCGAGCGTCTATCTAACAACGAGTTTTTCCGTCCTGGAGGAGCAGCCCATGGATATGTTGCTAGGACTGGATATGCTGAAAAGACACCAAGTGAGTCTAAAACTTGGGAAAACGTGTAGAAAATGATGCCCTGGTCGATTTTGATGAAATTTTCAGGGAAGCTTCAAAACATTCTACATAGAAATGATAATAAAATAAGTTTTCTCAACAAGACGTATTTTAGGGGTTGGAAATAGATTTCAATGAATGAATTCCACCCATTCCTTCATTTCAGTTGATTATTCAAGGTAACAATTTTACGTTTTTTATTTTTTATGAATTACCGTAGATCTTCAGTTAGCCGAAATTTAGAGGGGCAGCCTACAATTCTAAAGTAGCTTGGAAATGGGTTAAATTTTCATTTTTAACGAGCGTGAAAATTTTGGAAGAAAATCTACTAGTCACATGTCAATTTTGATGCTAAAAAGAGACAGCATTGTTGCCGAATTGCAAAAATAAGTCACAGTTGTCTATCAATCGTAAAACTTGCAAAAAGCATGCTACTCTGTGGATGAGTTTCTCCTTGAATCCTAATTTCAGTGTAGCTGAAACAGCCAGTATTTTATGATAATGTTGTTTCTTTTGTCTAATGTGATTGTGAAGGAAAGCTGATTCAATAAATGTTTGATTGATTGAAATTAATTTTTTGTATGGAAGATTACTTGAATCGTGTACAATGTCAATTGGGAAATTAATATCTCAAAAAGATGATATTTCATCTACATGAAGTCAACTTGGGCTAACTTCATGCAAGACCACTAGAAAGTCTAGTTGCTAGTTCGTATCTATGGATTAGGGCCATTCTGTTGTAGTAACTCAAAAACAGTTCATATTCATCTGAAAACAAGTTTGTTTCAAATTCAGTGGAAAGAATAAGTATAACAATACACATTACACATCTAAAAATCATTATTATGCAAATACAATTATCTACAACCTGGCAACAGTGCTAATTGATTTGCAATACAATCATTTGTGTAAAGAGGAGTTTTTAAAACGTTAATTTGCTTAGGTCTGCAACTTTTTTTGAAAATATGTCGAAATAAATAGTAATGATAACCAAAACAAAAAAGTCAGATCAGAAACCTCCGTCATTAATATAGGGGTACCTCAAGGCTCCATACTTGGACCTATATTATTTATTCTGTACACCAATGATTTACCATGCTACACCGGAGATCAAAACGTCATTATGTATGCAGGTGACACAAATTTTCTAATAACTGGTTCAGATTCCCTAGCTACAGAGGCAAAAGCAAACCTTGCTCTGAAAAAGGCAAGTGAATGGTTTTCTGCTAATAATCTGGTCCTGAACACAACCACCAATAAACATTATTATTATTATTAAAAGTAGTACACCTAAATTTGCCACCTTGATTAAAAACGTACTTTTTTATGCTTACTCCTAGAGAAGTATTTCTGCACAGAAATTTGTAATCTCACCTCCGATTCAGGGTGTTCAGAAGCTTCCCTAAAAATGTCATAAAAATCGGCAGCAACGCCTTTACCAAAACTTCTTCCTTCACACAATTGTTGTCACTTCATTTCAGTGTTGCATTGATCTCAAAGCGAATGTTCTGAGAATCGGCACCACCGGTACCGAAACGCCTTTTCTCCCGGAGAGTGAGCTGCCCGATTGTGCCAGACTGAGCAGCTTGTCGGAAGAAGAGGTCATGGCGAAATCTAGGAAAGAATTAGAGGATAAAGACTTACAGAAGGCTCTGCAGAATAGCAGGCAAGGTATGCGACTCAAAGTTGTGTTTTAAAGTTGTCAAACGTTAGATTAATTGTCTGGAAACTCTTTTAGAAATGCTTCAACATGCTCGTGTTAACTGAGAAGTGGCTACATTGACTTGATATATTTTTGTATCGTTTGTTGAATGGGGTATTCCGCAAAGATCCACATCTGGTCTTTTCCTTTATTGCTAGTTCTATGAATGAAGTTGAATAAGTTCTAAAATATCGGGACTTACCGTTTTCAAACCACCTCGCGCGAACTGGACAATAGATTATCATGATTATCTGTTCAAAAAATAAGGTGACTGTTCAAATTTCGCGGGCTACATATATTCGATTAACGTTTGTTTTAATTTTTTTTATGTTGGTACATTTATCTCGAACACAGTTTCAGCAGTTCAGCATGTTTAGTTTTGCCCGATGGAAGAACCCAGGAGAGTCAAGACCAAGCAAAGCACGCCAGGTTGGATCAAATCTCGAGATTTTACTCGCTGTTTTCTTTGATTACTGTGGCATAGTGCATCAGGAGTTCTTGCCACTTGGTCGTACAGTCAATAAGGAGTATTATCTTGAACTTGTGCGCCGCTTGTGATCATTGTTGGATAGATCAGGAATATATAACTTGATTTAAGGTACGGTAGAATCTCACTAACCCGACACTATTAAAAACCAGAGGGTTTCGGATTATTGGAATGTTTGGATTACTGGATTAAAGAGAAAAAATCTTAATATTTAAATAGTGTCTTGTGTTTCCGTTTACTTGGAATTTTCAATTACACACTATTCTCACTTTGAAACAACAGGTAATACGTAGGCACGTGATAAGTTTTGAGGTTAGACTGCTAAAAGACGAGAAGGCATACAGGCAAGGGAGGCGCGGGAGGGTACCGGATTAGTGGGATTCTATTGTATATGTCCTAATTGCATATTGGTCAAACAGGAAGGTTTTTCACCAGAAGAATAAAAGAGCATATCAATTGTTTAAATGAGATATACCCAACGTTGATGTTAATGTCTCATTTAGTTTAGAGTTTGAAGTAGAATGTTCAAATTTCATGTTTCAGTTGCTCTATTCTCTCTAAGAAGCTGTGGTAACTCCCGAAGAGGTCTCGACTTTCGAAAATGTTAACAATCACCACAAATAAAGAGTTTTCAAGTTTCGATTTCTCAGCCACAAACTCAACTACTACCATCTCTTTTTTCAGAGAAAAAGAGGACCAAAGAACTCCAATCTTCTTCCCGACCCCAAACCTCTCCTCAAACCGAAAGTAATAAGAGAAGCAAAAGCCTTAACAATGCCAAATCCAAGAGATAGTAGAACCTCCTCCCGCATGTTCCTTTGCATAATTTTGTAACATTCTCAAATTACATTGTTCCTTCATACATTTTTCCATGATTATTTTTTCTTTTTACAGTCGACAGTGGCTCTAGCTCCTCACAACCAATGACTGTTCAAAGTGATACTCAAAATACTTCCCAGGGAGATAATTTCACGGAAGCCGACGTCAGGGAAATCGTTTCTCTGGGATTCACACGTGATCAGGTTATATTTGAATTGCGAAGGTTCAACGGGGATAAAACTCAAGCAACTGCCGCACTCTTCGCAAAATCTCTCGTATTTTGAAACGCATTTAGTTATAGGAGTATCATTTGTTGAATCTGAGATTACATTTATGATTTTTCAATTTATAATGCACTGGGAAAGAATTACGGGAGTGTTATATGTAGAAAATGGGTTTAGACTTTTTTTGAGCTTGTGTTTCTCAAGGGAAGTTAGTTCAATGTAGTCTTTAACGATAGCAGTATAGTAATCTCAGACCTGGTGGTTCTTGTTTAGATATTTTTTGAATAATGTATCTCATAAGCAGCGTGACGTAAGGAAAATTCTTGGAGAACCTTCGTAGTCTTTTCTATGTCCAATGTTTTGATACACATTTGTTTTAATATTCATATATTTGATGATGTAACGGTGAAAGTAGTTTGTAAAAAAATCAACTGATTCAGAGGAAAACGTTACTTGGACAAACTGATTCCGATACTGCTGTTTAATTTTTTTCTCTAAAATTTTTTACTGACGAACAGAAAGGAAACTGGCATGATTTTTCTTGCATGTGGATCCACCTGGATGAAAATGAAGGAACTGTGCAGAAGTCCACAGAAAGACAGCAATTTTTTGGCGTGAAATTCTTTCAACTTGTTGCAAACGTATTGAAATAATTTCAAAACTATATCTCCTATAGATATTTCAAAACGATGAATTTTTGCTGTGATGATTGGTATATGCATGTATTTCCACAATGTCGATAATAAATAATCCATTCCACGTTTTTTTTATTTCATTCATGAATTATATCATCAAAAATAATGAATTATCACCAAAATGAAGTGCATTATACAGTCAATATTAGTAAGTGTTCGCCAAAATTTGCAATTGATCACACCAAAATTGAATTCTTAGTTTAATGTGAAGCCTAAACTACATTATATCATGAAATGATCACCAATGATAGTAAATGTTCACCAAAATTTGTGAATGTTCACCTAAATTCAAATTTCATTCCAATGTGAAACTTGAACAATGTTGCCTTTTGTATGGCTTATATTTAAGTTGTGCACCAAAGAAATACTTCATATAATGAAAATATTAAATGATCACCAATGAAATACTTTATACCACCAATAATAGTAAATGTTCACCAAAATTTTAAGATGATAACCGAAATCAAAACCCCGTTTCAGTGTGAAACATAAACTAACTTGGTATGGTGTATGTAGAACTTATCACCAAATAAGTACTTTTTACCATCTGAAATAGTAAATGATCACCAAAATGAAATACTGTGTACCACCAATAATAGTAAATGTTCATCAAAATTTTTATATGATTACCAAAATTAAAACCCCCGTTTCAATGTGAAACATAAACTAACTTGGTATGGTGTATGTAGAACTTATCACCAAATAAGTACTTTTTACCACCAATAATAGTAAATGTTCATCAAAATTTTTATATGATTACCAAAATTAAAACCCCCATTTCAATGTGAAACATAAACTAACTTGGTATGGTGTATGTCGAACTGATCACCAAATAGGTACCTACTTTTTACCATCAAAAATGGTAAATGATCACCAAAATGAAATACTTTATACTACCAATAATAGTAAATGTTCACCAAAATGTGTAAATGATCACAAACATTATAATCCCATTTTAATGTGAAACAATCTAACTTGAAAAATGTTGCCCTTGGTATGGATTATATTCGATATATCACCACATAAATACTCTATACCATCGAAAATAGTTAATATTCATCACAATTAAATACTTCATACTAAGGATGATAGTAAATGTTTCCCAATGTAAATGTTTTAATATGTGAGGCATAATCTAACATGAAAAATGTTGCCCTTGGTATGGCTTATAGTCAGTTTATCACCAAATAAATACTTCATACAATCGAAAATAGTAAAAGATCACCAAAATAAAATACTTTATATCACCAATAATAGTAAATGTTCACCAAAATCAAAACTCTATTTCAATGTGAAATCTAAGCCGACTCAACTTGATATTATACTTCATTTGATGAATTTCCTATTTATGTCAAGTAATAGTGGTAATTTTAGGTAGTACTAACCTGGGCTACGATACTAAACAGTTGTTGGACTACAGTAGGTATGAACTACGATGTCTAACAGGTCACTGTCATTTGAATAATGATATGCAGAGACTCGGACTGTCGGAAGATAGTGTGTGTCGCCTCTGTTTGGAAAATGATGAAACAGCAGAGCACATACTTTGTGCCTGCCCCGCTAGGGACTGAATTAGGTTTTTAGAGTGCGGCAGAGCCGAACATATTTTGGCTATCATAATGACTTGTTTGCTCGTGAAAATTTGGTGATCGTTTACAAAATTTGGTCTTCATTTTTTGCTGGTCGTATGAAATTGAAAAATAAGTTAATTAATTCAAGTGAACATTTTTTTATCTGAATGTTATTTTACTAACCGAGACTTTTGCTTCACTCTTTAATTATTTGAAACTAGAGCTCCAAGACGAAGCGTTTATGATACCGCACAATGTTGTTTTGACCCATAAATAAATATTATTATGGAATAAACCGCTAGACATGGCCAACAAACCCAGAAAATGCCTTTTGATACAATGTAGTCTCTGAGTGTAGCAGTTTGATTGGTGTTTGTTGTCACATGACTTGATAGTGATTCAATTTAATTTTGATTGTTGAAGATTGCAAAAAAAATATGTTTTTCCTCAAGAATCGCCAATAACTTATCAACAGATACAAAAATTGTGGTATATAAATCAATAATCCAACCCCATTTTGACTACTGTGCATCTATTTTATTCTCTTTTAATTTGAACAAAGTGCAACAAATACAAAAACTACAAAATCGAGGAATGAGAATAATTTTAAAATGTAACAGGTATACACCAATTTCTGCTCTACAATGGCTCTCGGTATCCAAAAGATTATTCTATTGTTCCATGGTTTTCATTTATAAAATATTAAATAAAATGACCCCACCATACTTGCTATCATTAATAACTTTCAGTAAGGACATTCATCACCATTCTACTAGGCACAACAGCCACATTCATATAAATAGGACAAATACAAGAAATAGTATGAGCAGTTTATTTTTTAAAGGTTTTGTCCAATTCAATGATTTACCTGATTCAATTAAGTCTACTCTATCATTAAAGATTTTCAAGAGCGAAATATTGAAATATATTCATGATGGAAATTGAAAATAAAACAAAAAGTCATGTGTTTCAGTGCAATTCATTATCACTACCAGAAATAATCTTATTAGCGAAGGTTTTGTGATATTTTATACACTTTGTGATGAATTAATGTTGTAACAAAGAAATCCTCATATCATATTGGCATATCAGTATTGTTATTGGCGATCCAACAAATATAATGTGTTTAGCAGTTGGTATGTAAACACGCACTGTCGAATCGAAGAAAAAAAGTTGTTTGTATACAATATATTTCGTTTTTTTCATCATTTCCTTAAACCTTATCCTACTTTTTGATCTTCCTCTTGAAGATGATCACTTGGTGATCGAAACACGTGTCGAGGTGTTGAAATAGGTTAGGTGCACAAAATGTCATGTCACAGAATGTCTCGGAACATAAGTAAACAGAACAGCACGCCTCTGAAATATGTCATCTTTGTTTGTCTCAAACAGATAACAGATTCGTTGTCCTTTATTAGCTATAACCGATGTTGCCAAATGGTGAAATAGAAACGAATCCCTTTAAACGTTGAATGCATTATTTCATTCCTCTTTTTCAAGTATTCAAATGATTTTTTAAATAAAAAGATTGAAAAGATAAGTTTAAAATGCGTTGTTTTAGACCTCTTTTATAAAAACTAATAGATTTTCGTCAGGAGGAACACTCCAGGAGTATTTTAGTAACTTTCAACATGATGATCATCTGTTTCAGATCAATCCACATTCTGTTTTGAAGTGAGGAACTTACGAGTGTTGAAAAAAAAACATACTGGTTGATATATTTTATTAATCTTTCACAACTCATCATACAAACAAATATTACAGAAATTTCTTTGTAAAATCTAATTAAAACCTACATAACAACAACTTCGAAACAAACACTTTACTAATGTCTTTTGAGATCTGAAGCCACATGACGGGCTCATATTTTCCACGTGATTCGATGCCCGATGAAAACATATCAAGGAAAAATAATCGATTGAAGTATTTTGATACTTAAGAGTTACGGAAAAACATTTTTGATGTTTCTTCTTGGAAGCAAATCGTCCACGAGAACCCAAACAATGCATAATCGTTTACAATTAGGTTCAAAAACAATAAATAAAGAAGAGAAATAAATCTACGAAACGTAGATTGTCAACAATTAAAAATTTTGAAAGAATTTTAAAGTGTGGAATGATTCACCTAGATAATCTGTTTTCGCTATTTCTTCTTCCTATCCTGAGTACATTTCGGACAATACCATTTCCCTTTGGGCTTTGTAGTCAATCCGACACAAGCGAAATGGAACCATTCAATTGGACACTGAAAAATGCAATTTTTTCTTATGTTTTCCCGAATAAGGGTCCATAATAACTCAACAAGATTAGTATGTTGCTACGAAATTCTTATAGACTTTAATATATCTTCCTAAAATAGTTTTTTTAACTTCAAACATATTGGAATGTCCAAAGTGGATTATAGTAGATCAACACTGTTTCTGTCTGGTATAATAAATGTCAGAATGGAATATTATACCTCAAATAGCATGAATCAAGATATGATAAATATTAGCTTAACAGCAAAGCATCAAGAAGATAATTTTTACTCATTAAACATATAAACTCAGCAGGTTTTCAGGCATTTCAAAATTTGATAAGTCAAATATGTAAAAATGAATCTTACATCAAGATTATCACATCCAATCATTTCACCGTAGGACACTTGATGACAAAGGCAATATGTTGGTTCGTTAGGATCAACAGGCATATCCAATACGTCGCTAGGATGGGCGATTCCTGCTAATCCAGGCAAGACTGCTGCCACCGCTTCAGCCACTGAAAAACCATAAAATCAACCTTCAACTCGTAAATTTACGGAAAAACTGGTCACAATGATGTAATGAATTCCAATACATGGGCGATTGTCAAAATAGCTGGATTTTACGTGACCGAAACATCACCATGGTAATTCACTTGAACTGTTTCTTTATTAACCTGCTTTCGACTGACTGATTCCATTGAATTGCTTCTTTTGTCATTGCTGCGATTTGATGAATTCCATCGAGCCTGACTTGGCTCACTATCTGCCTGAAATATTAAATAATTTGAATTCCTGCCACTGGATCACGTGACAACTTGGCTTTATCCTGATTGGCTGGCTAAGGACCACGTGGCAAACTTGGTGCATCCTGATTTGCTGGACGACCTGTCTGCCCGAATCACGGGCATGTCTACTAGGACACACTATTTTTTCTGGAGTAAGCTTAATTTTTTAATATTCTCAGATAATATAGGCAGGATAGAGTGAGTATGTGAAACTGAGTGAATTTATTCTTACATGATTGTTTATAATGAAACCCAGCAAGGATATTATCACTTATTTTGGAGTTTGAATGCTTTCATGACATGAGCTGAGTTTCCCCAGAAAGGCAATCCTTAAGACAAGAGAGACTGATTGAGTCAATAGTACTTTAGTTTCAGCCCATCTAGTGAGACAGCTTCATGTAATTGCTTTATTACAAAACACTTTCTGCTCAGTTTTGTTAGAACATTTTCTATTAGTTTTTGATCGATGGTTATACCTAAATATTTGAAATGATTCACTTACTCAATGAATGTGTGATCCATTTTTATAAGAGGACAAAAATCATAGGAATGTTTTGAATATTGCCCAAACAGTACTCAGTATTGTATTCTTTTGCTATTATGATGATGAGCATGAAATGATACGAACCCTCACCTGAAGCAGCCTTGGCACCATTGCCAGTCGAGTTTCCGGAAGCGCTTCCAGTCCCTGCCCCCTTCTGTTTTTTCTTCTTGTTCCCCTTCACAGTTCCTGTTGAGTCTTCTTCGCTAGAATTACCGATCGTTTTTTCTTTTCTGCTTTTCCATCCTTCAGCTTCTTTCTGCCTCCTTTGAAAAACATTCAAGATAAGAAGGAAAAGTCACAGATTTTGTAAATATAGATAGATTCCCAAATTGTATTTACTTCAACAAACGGCATACTATTTTATATATATGAAATATATCATTTCCACAAGGGATTTGAGATTTCGAAATGTATGAATAAAGGCTACCACCATGTGCTCATAAAAGATGTCATTTTTTGATTTTTTATTATCAGAAGTGCCACTAAAACAAATATTCACCCGTTTTAAATTCAACTTACTTTTGCCTACAGTTGGTTCCTCTTGGTTCCTAGAATTCAATGCTTTGTCTTGAATTTCGGATTCGAACCTAGCTAAATCATTATCTAACTTGCGAATATGTTTATCTACTAATTCATAAGTCTGTATTGCTAGTTGTACTTTATCGTCCCCATATTCCTAGAAAAACATGCATGTACACACTAAAACAGCAAAATGGAGACCTTCTCACTTTAGCTTTGTTGAATAGACTCTGTATTTTATCCAACTGCTCTTTTTTCTGATCTGAAGACAGATTTTTCTGATCTTTTAGGTACTGATCCGCTAATGTATCTATGTTTTTCATAAGACCTTGAGCTCTCGAGTCCAAATCTCTCATTAACGTAAAGTTGCGTTGAAGCTCAATGGGTAAATGTTCTAGGCCTAGAAAAAACTGTGAGAGAAAGTCTTAAATTAAAAATGTATTCTTACTATCTAAGTAATGTTCCAAATAGAGAGCCGAAGTCATTTTAATGAATACTGTAACTTCTGCAGAGAATTTAATAACTCCTTTGAGCAGAAAGTTTTTTTTGAATTCAAATAAAAGTTTTCAACAACCAACAACAAACAAAGCTTATGTTTAATTTATTTGACAATGACAGCGACAGCAATCAACGAAACAAATAATGAAATGACAGATGACATATGACATGGTGGTTTACTTTCGTAACATTATGTAACTCCGTGTATTAGAATGAAAATGAATACAAAGTGTTTTTTTTTTTCATTAGTGCAGTTTGCCGAAAAGTGCCAACAGAATAAATCCACCTGAAACTATGACTTTCACTGTGAAAATTGAATTATATAGAAATCATTTAATTTATTCACTTCATACCCAAAATACTCAGAAGGGAATTTAAACAGATATAAACAGAACGTTATATATTGAAATAAATGTCTGAATAAATCATTATTGAGGAGGCCCATTGAGAAACGCCCCATACCTTTTACAACAATTTCTTGAAATCAACAATGATATTTTTGTTTTATCACCACAGAACCTATGAGCTAATGGAGTATTATCTTTGTATGTAGATCTATATACAAAGGTATTATCATAATGCACGAGAACCGAGATTGACCCAGCTTTGTATACAGGTTGATAAATGGTGCAATGAACGAATTCTTAATCAGTGAATTTGTGTTGGACATTTGATAAGACTGTAGTTCCAAGTTTCTTGTGCATTTCGGGTTGATTTCATTAACAATGGTAGAACTGTATAAAAATAGCTTGAATTATTTTTAGGTCAGAAATGCAACAAGTAATAGTTAAATTATCAATGTTTTCTCATTATTCAGTCTGATTTTATTATTAAATCATGAAGAATATCTATTCCAGTAGCCACTAGATTAGATATTTTGTATTATTATATATTATGTACTTACTTAAGAAATAATTTCACTTGTTCAGTGAAAATTTCACAATGAAACGTCACTCAAAATACATGATCACGGAACGATCAATTCCATTAGCACATAATTTATTTTAATTTAGTTAGATATACATTTTTTGTTAGTGATAATATTAATGAACTGATCAAAAGTCTGACAAATATCTGTTTTTCCGTTAATCAGCTGTCGCCCCCATACGAACGACAACTCTCAGAAGTTGAGAAACTTGTGCGAGCTAAGGACTAACGAGGTCTTACCTTTTTACATGTGATTCCTAACACGTTATTGAAATATATTGTTGAATTCTGTTTAGTTATTCGAAATTTTTTTGCAATGAAAATTTTATATTTCAGTTTTTCAATATGTCTACTTATATGAACATATTAATGGTAGTTTTTTTTGCCTTGTGGTCGATTCAATTGATTTTTGGTTTTGGTTATCTGGGGCACACATATATCGCCAACTGTCGAATTTGTATTATTTTTTCTCAAAGTTATCAACTCTTGAACTAGTTTGTCGTTTTTGTAAAATGTTGGTGTATTGCCAATGATGAAACTTGAGGTTTACTATCAGAACTGCATGGGTCTTCGAACCAAAACTACCAAATTTACAAATATTAGTCCGTTTTTATGAGTCTACTTTAAACTGTAATATCTCACTGAATGCTTATTCAATTTAATCGGAATGAGCGCCATTTGAATCAGTGCACTTTTGCCAACGTAACACAAGTCGATTAATTTCGCCAACATGACAATTGGATGCTCGAGATTCGATGGAGTCGACGAAAGCCGTTTTAGCCTGGTCCTGATTGGCGAAGATTCTACCGATGAGAAAGTCATGTAAGTTTTAAGTTTCATCATGTTGTCATATTTACAAATAATTATTCTTAGTAAGAAACACGTTTAGACCTTGCTGTCTGTCCGTTTCTAAATTAAATAAATGACTACATAAAACGCTTCTATTTTTTCTCTCTCGCTCACACACCTGTAACCTTCCTAATGGCCCTTAATGCACAATTATAACTGTAACAAACGATAGAATATAAACAAACAAGACAAGGAGCGTGTCTTCGTAACGCAGGATGCAGCTGTTTTGCGTAACGAATTATGATTGAGGGGGCAGGATCTCGCCTCAATAATCGAATTCGGTAGACCACCGTCGAGAATAAGGGCCTCTATTCGCCCTGTGACCCTAGCGTAATCAATTTTAAATACGCCGACGATTGTGCTTCGATGTCACGGTGAGTTCTGTCATGATATTCCCGTGCAGATAATGCACCCCACGACGAGGGGGTGAGGTACCCCGTGGTGCGGACACAAGTGCTATAAATTGAATGTTGTAGTGAAGTTTCCTGGAATATTGATAACTCAATAACCTTTTATGAATGAGGATTTTTGAAATCATAGACTTTGAATTGTCTGCCTGTTTATATTCATTGTCTGACTGTTTGTATAATTTTACAATGTTAATATTGTATATATATACATCGGAAAAGTCTAGGAGTATTTTTATAACATACTAAATATCATAAAAATAAATGCATGAGGTCGTTTAATTTCGATTAAATTGGTACACTCGNATATATTTTTTATTTTTATGTTTATTTTTTATTTTTTTGTAATTTTTATCATACTCCTTTATACATTGACATGTTCTACACCCGCAAGGGTCTTTGTACCAAAGAACTAATAAAGATAATCTATCTATCTATCTATCTTATTGACGATAACTCCGGGCACTCGCATAGGACATGCTTGACAGTCTTTCACACATCCTGCATAGAGGTGGTCCCTGAATTTTTTGCCGCGTGTTTAATAAACACCCTGTAATCAGTTCCTGAGATCTTTCTATTTTCGAAAAACATATGATCAACCAGATAGTGAATATCAAACTTTTTGATAGTTGCGATTATATTTTTGAAAATAGTTAATTTTGAACATTTGACTCAAGCAAAAAAGCACTGCACGGAATTGCGGGGCTGTTTCTCCATGATAAAGTAAAAATCTAGTAATAAACTCACCTCTAAGAATGATTTTTTTCGGCTCATCCTGCTTGAGATTCCTGTTATGCCCATTGAAGTATTCCGTGTTCGAATTTTTGTCAGTTCGCACCAACTCGCTCAAAAAGTTAATGTATCCTATGGCCAGTTTCAACGTGTCTACTTTCGAAAGCCTTTTCTCGTAGGGTAGTGTAGGGATATGCGCCCTCAAACCTTCGAAAGCATCGTTGATGGACTGCATCCGTTTTCTTTCTCGGAGATTAGCTGCTTGGCGCTGCTGGATTTGCTGCTGGGGACACTTACCTCTTCGTCGGTGACGATGAAGTCTTCTGGAAAAGATTTCAAAATGATAATTTCCCGGGTTTTTTGGTCGTGGTCTGTAGGTTTTTATGCCTGACGCTTCGTCTAATACTGCGGTAGACCATGAAATAACGGTCAAAGTGATCAAGTTGTTCCCAACACAAAAAACTAGACCGCTGGAAAGGTGGGCATGGAATAAATGCCCTGGTTTGTGTACAATTAAGCTCAGGTAGCTAGATTTTATTGTTGTCAATTTCCTTTTCCTTTCTATTGAAATTATCGCTGTGTTTCTGAATTCCGGCCGTGAAAGTTTACACTCTTTGATCAGTATGAGTTTTGTTTTGATTTGGTTCAGACTCTATCTGTGTTTGATGATCCAGCAGATAGTTTTTAAGAGTTTTATCGGGAAAAAATCAATTTTTCAATCATCTCACATGTTTTGCGATGGGACGAAAGAGATAGACAAGTTATTTATAGGTACTTTCTTTTTCAACAACGATTTCCATAACTTCATTTTTCCTGTGAGGATTGAATGCTTTGAGTTTAACTTTCGGTTAGGAAGAGTTTATTGGCTACAAACCAGTTGAGGATGCCATTTACGAAATCGTTTGATAGGAAAAGTAGTAGATGTAAAGTTTTTACTATGAACAATGAGTTTAGTGTCATCAGCAAAGAGTAGATGGGTTCATTTTGGAAAATTAACAATATTATTGACATAGATAATGTAATGTTCAAAAGGGACAATGAAACACTGATTGTCATTGCACCCCTATATTACACACTAATACAATAAGACTGACTCTCGTCGTGGAATGAAAAATTCTCTGGTAGTAAAGTGAAACATAAAATATACATTCCTCAATAACTATAAAAAATCATAAATTAAACATAGGCGTAGATAGAGAATTTTCAACAGGCAATGAATGGTTTTAAAACATTACAGATAAGAAATAGTGCGGGACCAAGTATGGATTTCCAGTCACCTACGCTGGGGTGATAAAAGTATTTTTGTCGGATTAATTAAACGTCGGAGGTTTGAATTTTTTTAAGCGTTTAACGAGCTTTTCGGCTAGTAAAATCCCTGAACTTAATTTATTTAATCTCAGTCATGACAAAGAATGTGTTTGGTGTATGACAAGGAAAGTATTAGGAAAGAATGATTTTTGCTATAAAATACGTGTTGAGATATTCGCGAAAAAACCGTCTCTAAAAACGTGATTGTAGTGATTGACACTTTCTCCCGCGAATAAATTGAAAAGCATTGACTTTAAGAAAAACCCCAATAAAACAAAATTAGTCAATCTACTATTCACCCCCAGAACGAATGCAACTCTTTTGCTACACTTTGAAGTAGTAAGTAGAAATTAAATCCAAATTTTTGTGTGTTAGGCAAAATTATACAGTATCACCGTACCTAATAAATAGGTTAGTAATTCTCGGCAATATGTGCTAAGAATCGTATGTTACAATTAAGACCTCGTTGATTCTTGACAAAACGACGACAGCAAAACATATTTTGAACTTTTTTATTTAACGTAATAATTATAGTGGTCATGACTTTTTTGTCCAATAATTTTTTTGAACCCTTCCTTCAGGAATATCAACAATTTTTCAAAATAAAATTTCATCATTACCACTCGTTAGAGAAATGAAGAATTGTGATAGATTCTACCATTCTAACAATACCATTTGTCAGACATCAACTCAAAAAAGTATTTGAAAACCGAAAACATTATATTATTCCTCTTTATAAACAAATAATGCTCTTCATAGTACAGTCAGTCACTTATAAAATACAAAACAAAAAAATTTAAAAATGAGACAAGTCACATTTCAAAAACAAGAAACTAGAAAACAAGACGAATTATTGATGACTCAATATGAAAATGATAATCATAAAGCACCCTTATTATATTTTGATGAGAAACAAGTCTTACTCTTTACAATCCGAATTGTTTTCTTGATCACTGCCATACGAAAAACTGGAAACAGCCGAGTCACTACTATTGTCGTCATACAAAAACAAATCACTACTGTTGGACGACCCAGTTGTACTCCCATTACTATTCCCGTTGCCGTTTATAAAAGAACTGCCATCGAAATAAAACTGCCTATTAACCGCGTCCAAATCCAAGTTCTCCATAGTGGAAAACATTTCACCTACGCATATTAACCAGACTATTATTATTACTATTGTGAAGTTGTTTTGTTAGTACACGTTTCGAAAATTAGCGACTGTTGTTCCCTAATCGACGGCACGTGATCTAGCACGTGTGTTACACGTGCTAAGAGTTGAGTGAGACTGAAACATGTCCTGAAACTTATCCCGGATTCATGCGCTTTGTAGAGGAACTTCGAGGGCCCGGAAAATCCGGATACGCCAGAGCTTTGATGGGGGTACGTTTAGCCACGCCTCTTGGTGATATTTGAAATCGATTCAAAGTTTTGTTGCTGTTCGGGGGTGGGTGCGAAGAACGTTTTACTGCAGTTTCGTCCTATACGGACATTTTCAAACTAATACAATAAACTAACAATGGTTCATTACATAAGCCATTATATACCACCCCTGTAGGTACTAATAGAGGTACTTGGCTTGATTGAGTACCTGAATTTACAGTTTACAATGCGGATCTGCCAATTTAAAAACCGGCGTGTAAACTAAATCGATTTGATCATTTAACAGGTTGCACCCGCAATGTTTATGCTTGTGAATTTCCAAGGATTCTAAATAATTGAGTTTGTAACCATTCCTTGCATAGTGCAAAATTTCCCTGTCGTTTAGATTAGGAAACTTGTGGTTGCATGCCAAGGAATGGTTTAAAAACGTCAAATCATTTTTTCATAGTCTGAAGGACCTTTCATGTTCAGCATTTCGTTTTTGGAAATTTCGGCCCCATTGTCCCATAAAAACACTATTACACTCCGGACACTTAAGCTTATAAACTCCAGATTTCTCCAACTTGTCCACCTTATTTTTGGCACAGAAAAGGAAATGAGATAACCTGGCATGTGGTCTGAATGCCACTTCCACATTGTTTTTTCTGAAGAAACCCGCAATTATCTCTGTTCTTTTTCCAAAATACCTATGTTAGCGTTAGTTACAAATAATATGTTAACGTTAGTTACAAATAAAGGTGGTAAAAAACATAGAAAGTTTCATTTCTCTTTTCTTCACTGTGGTAATAGTTTTGTATTCTAGGTGGGCAATGTTGATAACTCCCTGAGCCATCTATAAGTATCGTGGTTTTCCGTAGTCCCCCGTTCTAGATTTAAAAATTCAAGTATTCAATTTATATTTTATTTTTTGACACAAATTTGTATTGAAAAGTCTGTTTTAGTGTTTTTGTAACTACATATCCCATTAAACCACATTCGTTTTTCTTCTGACGATCTTTCTATGTTGTATTACATAATTGAATCTATCTATACCTACCCTATAATGAATGTATTTTCACCATTGATATGGAAGTGTCCAATCTCCAACTAAAATTACTTTTTCAATCCTTTTCTGCCAGTTTTCTTTGGTGATATTCGATACTTCTTCTTTAATTAACTGTATCACCTTCTTATCAAATTTTGGAAAATTATTTTTACGCCCGATGCTTTATTTCAATTTTTCCCAAATCAACGAAAACACAAAAATAGGGGGGAAGTCTCAGTATGGTGTGTCCATACTTTCCAGCAATACCCTCAATGGCATACACTTTTTCAAATGTCTTTGTCTGTAAAACTTCAAATAGTTGATTTTTGGTATAATAATCTTCAAAATACAAATTCTTATCCATTAAAAAACTTTATATTTCATCTTTCCTCAATTTTTTTCATGAGCTATCCCGAATGATAGGAAGTGTTGTCAAAAACTATTACACTATTCGCATCCAAATTTGGGATCAATGTGTTTTCAAACCATTCCTGGAAAATATTAGTTTCTATTCTTATTATTGCAGTCCTCAAGTTTTTTTCCATATAATTTCAAAGAATTCGGAACCCATCTTTTACTTCCTCCGCAATGCACAATGATTAGTCGCCATCCATTGTTTGCAGGCATGTTAGGCGTACACATTTTCGAACACATTTCGTAACTGTCTAGTGAGTGTCATACCAAGTTTCGTCCAAATGGAAAATTTGCCGGTGTTCTTGTCTACATTTAGTTATTTGTTCTAAGTATTTATTGTTATGCAATTCAACTATTCTTCTGCTTTCCATAACTGCTTGACGTTTGTTTATTATTTTAAATATAAATCCTAGTTTCTTTATTCGATTTTGAAGAGTTTTGTCACAGCAGTTCACGTAATGACCGGAAGTATTCAATTTCTTCCTTATGATTTTAGTTGTAGGAATCTCATTGCTTTTGTAACAGCCGCATATTGTTTTTTTTCAATGATTTTATTAGATGAACATCTAAAGGTTTTGGTAATCCTGTATCTCATCGCATCTTGCGTTCATAAGGTTTGTTTTTGACTATTTTACGTACGGTTGAGAAAGGTATTTTTGTCAAATCTGATGTTGCTTGTAATAGTTTGTTTCCCTCGAAACCAAATTTGAGATGTAGATTTTTATATACATCGAAACATATTCTCTGTGTTTCAATATTCAAATGCATCCGAATCTTATTCACTATTATCTCTGTTTCACATTCGTTATTACTGTTAGTACTTGTCCAAGGATGCCATATTTTAAACAGATAACAAAAATTTTAAGTAATTATAACTGCATTTCAACACTCAAATCGCGATCAGTTTCTGAACTGAACAAGACGGCGATAACTTTCTCCGATTTCTATTCGTCATCGTAACATGACTTCAAATTTAATGTTATGACTCTTCAGCCAATCATAAAACTCGGTTAGTAAAAATTATCCAATACGAACCGCCAAATCTACAGTCCATGTTGACTAGTTCGCTGCCGGTTCATTTCCATGTATTGTTTTTTTTGCCGGCATCTTTAAATATGCACAATATCGTTTACTTCGACTATACATGCAGGTAATGTACCGTAAGATTGTTTATCTTAAATAGATTAACTTGACGCAACGCACCAAGCCATTACGCGTCGCGTCTACTGTAAAACAACGGGGGACTATGCGCGGGGGTAGAGGAGCGGTCTAAGCAATGAAGCGCCGTCGCCGAGAACGCGACCCGAACGCGGGAAGACGCGTGAGGGCATACGTCATTTACGGTTGTGTTAGTTTTGCGAATTTCTTTATGGGTAACATAATTCGATTCTGGAAGCTATTCATGACTTAGTGCAGTTGGCATATTTTTTAATAACTGTATTTTTAAAGTATAAATATAAATTACTAGCTGCTGCACGCTCTTATATTAACGTACAACCGAAGCTACTGAACCGAACCTAGAATCTTGAAATATGCAGGTAGGTTATTTGTATAGCGTAAATAAGAATCAAAAGAAGGAATCCGGAACTTCCACCCCCCCAAGAGGAAAAATAGATTTTTAAAATGGTCTGCCTTGAAACTTAATGTGACAAACCAAGTTTTACGCGGGAGAAGCCGCGGGCAACAACTATTATTTTTATATGCCTATACACACGATAGTAAAATCATTTTCACAGTAATAACTTCAGTAAAGATGCGTTTCGCTCCACAGTAGCTTCCTCAATCTCCAGTTCGACTGAGGAAACTTCTATGCAACGAAACGCTTCTTCAGTAAAGTTATTAGTGTGAAAAAAGTTTTATTATCATGGGCAGTATTATAAATATGAGTTTGGAATATTCATTAATAATATCCTAGCGTAAAGCGATACGCTATCAAACGCCCTCATGGACCTATTCTAAAACGGTAAATAAAAAACACTCAACCCGAAAGCACTTGCAATTTGTCATTTAATCCTCTCTTCACGCTCTCGATGTTTGACAAGTAATTTTATCGTCCTTTGTAGTGTGTCAGCAGTTATTCCTACCCTTGTGAAGAGCCTAGCACCCTGCGGCCATCCCCCGTGAGAGTACATTAGATGGAAACATATGTATCAACTGAACTCCCCACGAGAATAGTTATAGGGGCAAATCTGCGACTGCATTAAAAGCCCATTATTGATTCAATACGTGCTAATTTGGTTTAAGTGTTGGGTAAATTAAGATGCACTTTTGGAGTTTTTGTTGTTTGCGCAGCGTGACAACTTCTCAAATAATCACCTGCTTTGATACATCTGTCCTCTTCAGAGGTTTTTTTTTAATAACAACCCCACGCGATTATTGATAAAATTGATTTTTCAAAGACTTTAGAAATCTAGATTTACATTGGTGATTTACTAATACAAAGAAATAACTAACTTATAACAATTGTATACTCTAAAAACATTAGCTATTCCCTGATAATCAATTCTAGGGTAGATTTGACTACATGAAAATACTCAATTCTCTGGAAAAAATGTAATAAATTAATGGGTAGAGCAGGTGAATAAAAGCAAAGCTTTTGTTCTAATTTCTCAACTATCGATTCATTTTGATGTGAAACATCTACAGCCATGCGCAAGCGGCTGTGCGATTCTCTTCGCAGACAGTCAGTCAATCAGTGAGTCAGTAAGCCTGTGAGTGAGTAAGTGAGTGAATCAGTCAGTCAATCAATGAGTCAGTGAGTGAGATTCAGTCTGTGAGTCAGTGAATCAGTCAGTCAGTCGGTGAGTCGGTGACTCGGTTGGGCGGCCAGTGAGTCAGTCAGCTGCTGATTCTTTGAGTCAGCTTGTCAGTGAGTCAGTCAGTCCGTCAGCGAATCGCTGAGTCGGTAAGTTAGTCAGTCGCTGAGTCAGTCATCGATCAGAGAGTGAGTTAGTAAGTCGGTGAGTTAATCAGTGAGTCAATCAGTCGATCAGTCAGGGAGTCAGTCAGTCAGCTCGTCAATGGAGTCGGTCAGTGAGCTCATCAGTGAGTCAGTCAGTCAGTGTGTCAACTAGTAAGTCAGTCTATAAGTCAGTCAATCAATGAATCGGTGAGTGAGATTCAGTCAGTCAGTCAGTGAATCAGTCAATCAGTCGGTGAGTCAGTGACTCGGTCGGGCGGTCAGTGAGTCAGTCAGCTGCTGGGTCTTTGAGTCAGTCAGTCAGTCAGCGAATCGCTGAGTCAGTGAGTTAGTCAGTCGCTTAGTCAGTCATCGATCAGGCAATGAGTGATAAATGTTTTAATTTTTAATTCTTTAGTTAATGCCACATTAGTTCCTGTCGTGAAATCTATTCTTCTGTACATATCACTCGTACAAAATAATTTCGATATTTCATATCTGCCAGGCGTCCCGCGACGGCTCACAATTTTTATTGTGTAAAACACTCAAGTT